AAATAGAGCGAAAACAAAGAATGATTGATGTGGAAACGAAAGAAAAATGAATTCTGAGACGATTGATTGATATTTGAAAACGGAACAGTCATGTTTAAGGCAACTGATTAACATTTTGCAAATGAAGTATTTACTGTATGATTCTCACATTTTACTAAGATGTTCTATAATTTTGTATTCAAATCCTTTAGATTGTTCTCACTTGTGTTCTCGTTTACTGCATATTTACTTTCTTGAACTACTTCTTGGTAAATATATATGTTGTCACTTTCTATGTACTACAATCCAGTTATTCAATGACATTGTCATTTGGGTCAATCAGTCAATTTAATTCGTCAATTTTTTTATGAATAACAATCTTATCTAAATAGATTTTATGTGTGGATAAACCTATTTCGGGAAATATAAAGATACAAAGCCTACTGTCATATTTTATCCAATAACAATGAATGAAAATGCGTACTTTATTTCAAGAAATAGGATTTACAATTGAAATGTATTGACACATTGTTTGTAAAGACCATTATAGAAAAGCATAGCATGGTGTATGTTAATTATGTTGATAAATATAAGTAGTATTTAGTGGAGCTCCTGAGTGTAGAAAGTTGAAAAAAATTGAATTTTGAAAGAACAGAAAGGGGTTCAGAGAATTTGAAAGAACCATAGAGCATATAAAGGACAACTGAAGAACAATGTGCAAGCCACTTTGTAATTTCGCCTTTAACAATAATTTGACTATCCTTGCCAATGTTTCCGTTTACTATAGGAGGTTTTTTTATATTTTTTCCACCTTGGATAAAGAAATCTTTAAACAAATTGATTCATATTATATTTCTTTTTAAGAACTGCTTATCACTAATTAATAACAGTTGATTTTAATAAGATAGTTTTTGATTTCATATGTATGAAAAATACAGCATAATTCAAAAGATTATGTACAAATCATTGCTCATGGTTTTAATGTATTGTATATGTATTATATATGAATAACAATAAATGAAAGCGGTTCAAACTATAACATGTTATGTATTTTTATTTATTTATTTATAAAATTCATACAAATACTTGAAAATTCTTTGATTATCTGTTTTACAGACAGTTATTTTGAGAATGGGTTTTGTGGAGATTTTTAGAAATTTCACAGGTTAAAATCATGAGTCAATTGAAGCTAGACCACCATGGAAAACCTGAAAGCACTGGACGGCCGTTTCGTCCTAGTGTGAGGCTCCTCGGCAGTCCTGTGTTCGAATCCCGCGGGGTGCGGGATCGTGGATGCCCACTTCTGAGGAGTCCCATACTAGGACGAAACGGCCGTCCAGTGCTTCCAGGTTTTCCATGGTGGTCTAGCTTCAATTGACTCATGAGTTCAACCTGAGACATCTATTTATTATGAGTTAAAACAATATACTTGATTCACTTGGTATTGTTTACTTGGATCTTCCCATTGATGTTTAAGACTGCAATTGATCAATCTCTTATTGACGCATGTGCATCCTGTACGAATCGCCTCGATATTGCCTTAAGTAAGGAGAATTGTAAGCAAAGATTGATGGTGGCTAGCAGTGGAATGCAGGACGCGCGTTTTGTCATATTTGGGACTCGTCAGCTGGATGTAGCTGCATCTCAGAGTTAATGTTCACTCTGGGACTCCAGACCAATACCGTTCGCTTCAAACGCAATCGCGTTATATACTTAGCTACTGACTCCTGATAGCCATTTGCTTGTGCAATGGGATGAAGTTTACACTCACTTGGTATTGTTTACTTGAATCATCTCATTAATGTTTAGGACTGTAATCGATCAATCTCTTATTAGTTTACATTTCTATGAGTAACTTTCTATTTCATTAAAATGATTTGTTTACCATTGTTTAAATATAGAAAATATATATTCATTTATAACTTTTACTAACCCTATTTACATGTATTAGAAAGGTTGAAAACATAGGTTTGGTCCAGTGATATTTTTCTCTTTGATAAATTTATTTGTTTATTTCTATATGTCATTAAGAATATGTACTGTATCTACTATTTATTTATTTTGATACAATGATTATTAATAAGACCATTTTAGATAAACAGATCTTTTATTAGATTAAATTTTAACTAAGATAAACAATACACTATTTAGAGATGATAAATAATTATTCTAATAGTTGAAATCATAATTCAATTGAAGCTAGACCATCATGAAAAACCTGCAAGCACTGGATGGCCGTTTCGTCCCAGTATGGGACTCCTCAGCAATGCGCATCCGCGATCCCGCCTCGCAAGATTCGAACCCAAGACCTATCAAAAAATTAAATCAACTGAACAAAATTGTCATCTTCCAATATAATCTACTTTTCGTTCTTATCACTAAAATCCAATGTAATTTTGCCTAAAATTAGTCAATTATCTGGTATAGTCTCATGTCACAAACCAAAGAATAAGGTATGCTGACATATAAGGTCTAATGCCTTCTTCATCTATGTTGTATTTTGATAATTTACTTCAGATTGAAATCAATACGTAAATCAGTCCATCTTGTTTTGATTACACAAACACCGTTTAAAAAAAATTCATTTTTGTTTTGTGGTTAATTCCCAAACAAACTGTTAGTAATGAAGGTATCGACTTCACTTGAAGATATAAAAGAACTGAATACTAAGTATGAGCCTATATAAGCTGAATTAAACCGATAAATAAGTTTAAGATCTCAAGGCTATTTCATCCTAGTGCACGTAGTATTATTTAACTGAAGATATGTTTGGTTTTCTAATGAAAGTGTGTCACTGTTCAACTTTTTTTTTCCAAAAAACCATCAAAGTGTATCTTCCACAAGAGCAAAAACGTTTAATAAGTCTTTTTTATCATAAATATTTGGGATGCTAATTACTGAATTCATTTACTATTTAAATTGTTTACTCCAAGGCTAGAATTTATTATTTAGTCTCTTACAGATATCGTTTCATCATTTATTAAATTACTTTCACATAGTTTTGCAATCTAAACAAAATTCCGATTCTTACTATTATACATTATATTCTTCTTACATCTTGAATATCTATTTCCGTTGTTTGTTGAAACATAAATCTATTATCATGCAAGAGACAAATAATACTATTTTTAGGAAATTTCTTCACAGATATTTATCAACATTAGTGAGCCAAATACTCTAATATAATAGTGGTTAAGTGAAAAAAACTTAAACAAAATTAAACAAAAGAAGCATTGTGTCTCGTGAAATAAATGTTTTCTTAAGTAGTATATCCACGTGACTATATATATATATATATATATATATATATATATATATATATATATATATATATATATATATATATATATATATATATATATTAGTTAGAATATTTCATATCGACTATGAGAAAGCATTTGATAGCGAGGATAAATAAAATCTTATTCGACATCCCGGTATACATGAGAATATCTCCAAAATCATCTGTAATTCATAGGACGGACTACACTGCGAAGTTGTGCATAGAGGACAACCGACAGATGCAGTCCATGTGAGGACCGGAGTCAGACAAATCTGCTTACTCCCCTCCTTTCTTTTTCTTCTGGTGGTTGACCTACACATGTAAGGGGAATCACGGAATAAAATGGACAGGTTGGATGAAGCTACATGATTTGGAGTTCGCAGAAGATCTAGTTCTTCTATTCTATACGCATCAACAAATACAAATGACGACAACCAGTGTAACAGCAACCTCTGAATAAGTAGGCCTCACCATACGCAAAGAAAAGGCAAGATCCCCAATTACAACATGGAGAACACCAATCCAATCACACCTGATGGAGGAACTCTGGAATGGGTGGAAACTTTCACTTACCCAACTGGACAGCATTATCGATGAACAAGGAGGATCCGATGCAGACGAAAAACCATGGATTGGCAAAACAACAACAGTATTCTCACAGATGAAGAACATATGGAACTCGAAACAGCCGTCAACCAACATCAAAGTCAGGAAAGACGCTGGAGATGGATGGAAAATACATTGTTGCATTCAGCAAACCGCATCATGAGGCAAGCCTGAAATCGGTATACTGAATGGAAAAGGAAAAGGGGAAGACTAAGGAACTCATTGTTGTTGAAATAAGAAGCAGACATCAAAAGAATCAAAAGCAACTAGAAACGAGTGGAAAGGATCTTCCAGGACAAAGTTGGATGAATAATGATGATGGTTGGTCTATACTCCTCGACGAAGCGGTAACAGGAGTAAGTAAGCAGGTAGAATGTCTCAACAGATGAATTAGTTTTTTATTACTCATCATTCATTTGTATTTAACTTTCAATATTATATTCCAAACCCATTATTCAATTGTTTTTGCTTGCTGACGATGTATTATGGAAGTAAACATTCTCAGATACTTGGTTATTTCAGATAAAACTTAGTTTATACAAATAGAACGGAGTGCCTAATACGTATTGTATTGGTTGTTTGAATCTAGACTCAGTAGCTAAATAGTCAACGCGATGGTGTCTGAAGCGAAGGGAATGGGGTTCCAGTACTTGAGTGAACATCAACTCGAATGATGAAACACCCAGCTGACGAGTCGCAAATATGACGAAGCTCTCGTCCTGGATTCGATTACTAGCCGCTATCCATACCTGCCTACACTAAGTGTCTAAATGATGTAAAAAACTACAAATGTTATTCAGGTGCTGATATTTCAAAACGCGTTTACAACAAAGAATCATACACTCAATTTCATATATTCTTGTACTTATATGTTTGCTGAATATTCATTATGAATGCTAAGTCACAGTTGGTAAAATACAAAGTGATGAAACGTGTTTGACGATCACTTGTTTAGATGAGATATTTTTCAATACGACCTTGTTGAATGATTCATATTACTAATTGTTCGGTTTGAATGTAGGTATCTGAAAGTTATTTATTGGTCGACCAGAATTGTAATACACAGTTTGACTTACCTAATTAGAGAAATAAGTTTATTTTTCATACTTTTACTGTTTGTTTTTCGTTTCAGGTTACAAAAGAAATATTCCAGATTGGCCAAGATATTCGTTACAAGGCGATTCAGGTCAAGGTGTACATGATTTACTAATTCAAAATGTTAGTCGTGAAGATGCTGGAGTATATGAATGTCAAGTTTCACCTGTTGCTGGACAAAATCCACTTCGACGTCAAACCCTATTAGTTATATTAGGTATTGAAATCTGTGAATATCAAATATTAAGTTCTTTCACCGTTTTAATTCATATTTTAAAACAATTGGGTAGCTGATAATTTGTGTAATCGTTAGAAATCTTTTTTTAATATAACCAGGATGAAAATTAAAATCCTTGAGAGTAAATATTTGATTAAGTGATCTTTACTATTCAAAAGTAATTTTTCCATATTAAAATTTAATGAGAAACACAGGAAAGTAATAAAAGATATCATACGAATAATATAAGAAGTGTTCGCAACAGTTATGAGAACCACATAGCTTACGGAGGTCATAGTTGGAATAAATTGCAAAAGTAAGGCAAAAGTAAGCTTTAAAATTCCTGATGTTTAATACTTCTCCGAATCTAGGAATCCCCCCTACACTGATAATTTCTGTGTAAAGGTCTACAGATATCTCACTGTCAATATCACAACTTCTTTAAATTATAATCTTGCTTTAGAGGACCCTGTCTGTCTACTATACTGACTCATGTTGATTTGTGACAATGGACAACTATGGAACCGTTTAAGCCTGTGTCCCAACAACTTGGGCTTTTTGACTCCTATTTATTGAACCATGTCAATAAAAACATGTAAACTGGTAAATGCAATCGGATGTGATTATTTGATTTGTGCGATATTCATGCGGATGTCATCTCAAGAGTTTGTCACTATCGACGGCGACCGATTTTGAAGTCGACTTTTATCAATAATGAACTGTTATATCGGTGAACAGAATATTTATTGCCCGAAGTAAAGTAGACGTTCATCTGTCACCAAACAATTTGGTAGTTATCTACTATCTATATTCAAGCTTAATACAAAATCATGACTAATTTCTCTTCTCAGTATTTAGTAGAATTTATTAAAATAATATACAGTCTAATGAACATGTATTGTTTTATTAGGTTGGTGATTTATAACCTAGTATTAAACTTAATTAAATCAAAAATGTTTATAATTGTCTAAATCTTGTGAAACATTTCGATTTTATGGTATCTTATGTTTATACTATTCTGATTAGAAACTACAATATGTGAAACTTTTTATACGACAGTTTCTATGGTTACTGCAACTACAATAGTACTTGACGCTGTAGAAAAAGAGAGATGGCTGTTTAAAGCAGATTATTTCGAGTCATTTACTGTCTGACGTATTTAAAATATCGGTTTTATTTATTGCAAATGCAAATTCTTAGCAAAAAAAGTCACCATATCGTTGATAATCTTTGCATCAAAATTTGCCCAAGCAAACGTTTAAGCTCCGTTGCACATATATACAAATTGAAATCTAGTACTAAGAATAGCTGAAAAATTTTATTGTTCAAACATATTTACTTCAGATATTTCTGATCATTCTGAACGAAGACGAATGATTTGTGCTAAGTTGCTACTTTCCATATATAGATCTACATATAATTAAGACATGTCAATAGCCAAGAACAGAATTTATCGAGGATCTATTGGTATTAACGTAACGGTAACATTTATTTAACTGATATATGAGTTGCTCAATAGGGTCAGTATTAAGATTTAGAACACGAAATTTATTCTAAATACAATGGTGTTTGCATAGTATATTACATATATAATTTAAAATACGAATGAATTATATTCAATTAAATAGTGGGGTTTATTTGTTCTTTGTAAAGTAAAACCGAAAATACCCAATATTGTGACTTTACCGGGTGTACCACAACCATCAGCCAATGGACAATTGATTGTAGCTTTTGATTCCAATAAAACGAATCCCATGAATAACAATCCATTAAAATTAATTTGTCAAGCGAAAGGCGGTTATCCTACACCGAAGTTTGAATGGTTTCATAATGGAAACCTTATTTCAGCATCGGGAGATTTAGATGAATTACAGAATGTCAATGAAGAAATACATTCACAAAAAATAACTAAAGATCAGTTTGAATTGGAAATTGATAAAACAAAACTTTCAACTCGAGATCGTATTGTGTGCCTAGTCAGTAACAAAGCAACAATGCGTTCAAATCACCTATATGAACAAAAGCTTAGAGCTGAAGTGATGATTGTTATCCACTGTGAGTTATGTGAATTTTTGATATTTATTGCTAATACTAATTTGTAGAAACTAGATATTAATATGTACAATATTACACAAAACCTGATTGTTATCCCTAACAACAATTTTCCTAATATATTTAAAGAACATTCATAAACATTTCCTAGTTTATCAGTAAACATAACAAAGTTTTTTTCAAAGATTTGCTAATCACCATTGTGTAATTATTATTCTGATTATAAGATAAAATCATTTGGTCAACTGAATCCTCAGTGATTATTCTTATACAAAATGAATTGACAAGTTTGATTAATTATGCAATATGTCACAATTATTAGTTGATAGATGACATATAAGTAAAGGTTAGATTATCATCTGTCACACAACTAATAATTTCAATGAATTTAATATACATCAATTAAATATAGAAAACTATCATTCATCTCTTCAGCTTGAAAATAACAAAAAACAAACAAATATGTAATTCAACAACAACAACAACAAAAAAGAGGATCTCAATGATTTTACATATAAAGAGAAATAGAAAACAACAGAGTACAAACTTAGTGGAAACAAAATAAGAAAGATCAGTTCAGCGAAGAGTTCTGTTTTCAGTGAATTCATTTTCAAGGCTGTACAGTCGCAAATATATATACTTATGCTTACAGGATGATAATAATACTGATAGAAAGTTTCTATTAGACATTGTGACAGTAATGTTAAATACACAAAGGTATTAAAAAAATTTCTTTATAAAGCAAGGAAAGTTTAATAATCATTTGATTGTTAATGGCCTATCCATTCATCAAAAATTGATAGGGAAAATTATCAATGGGAAAGGATGGCTCAGCATGATAAGATAAAATGTTGAACTTGAGATTCAATGTAATCAGGAGGATCATAGAAACAGAAATAAACCCGTTGTGGATTGAAGATTTAAGGAGAAGATGGAAGGAGGAGCAGATGTCCATAAAGGAAGAAGAGTATGAAGATAAAAATACATAACATTAAAACCATGGTAGAAGAAAAGGTTGTCCCAATCTCATTTTGACACACAGTTCTGGTTTTCCTAGATGTATGGCTGCTACTGCCTCAGCAATGCTAGGAATATGAAATTAGTTATTAGTATCATTCTGAAATAGTAATAATTTCATTCACATAGTTCTTTTTATCATTTTGAAAAGAGCAAGAACAAAGATTCTAGCAGAATAGCATGAATTCATTTTATTTCGTAGGTTCTCGTCAGCTGCTTACAACCTGTGATATTTAAAAATTATAATTACATAATAGGTTTAAATTGCTTACTGAATATTGTAAATATATACCTAATGTGAAAGAATATTTTACAACATTAATTGTGACAACAGTTCAAAAGTGGGTTAGAAACAATTGATTACATAATGAATAACATCCGTATATATTTTGTAGTACCTGGCTGTAGCCAGTGTTACTGGTGCTTTTATTATCCGCTTACCAATGATTATCGTAATTATATATGGGGCTTTCATTACGAACTGACATCAGCTATAATGCCAGAAATTTAGTTAGCCAAATGGATGGAAGGCTTTCACGTTAAAATCCGATATATATTATCTTATACCTGATTGATTCGTCCACAAATTATAGTCCCACCGTTTAATTTGTTATGTACAAAATTCCCTGTGAACCGATCGTATGTTAGCATTAAGCACTGAAGTTAGCGCCGTAACCTTGAAATCTCTAAAACGCCCCTGATTGGCTCGTCTACAAATTAGAGTCTCGCCTCGTCTTCCCATTGTACTTTATGTGAATTTGGTTATAACCATTAAAACTTTTCAAATATCCAACATTTTAACAAACCATTCATGGAAACAAACATTTTTTCTGATCCTTTTTTTTACAAAATAACTAAAACTTTAAATCGTTCTAAATATTAAAATAATTTTGATTCTTTTTTTTCTCTTTTCCAAGTTACATTCTGAACAATAAAAACTGACCAGTAAAATAGAAAAAAAACTATTTTACAAACAATAGAACAAAGTGTATATATATATTTTTTTCTCTAAGTTAAATAGGTTTCTGTAAGGATTAAAATGGAGAAAAAAAAGAATTTGTGAGTGTATCATGTGTTGCGTGAATTATAATTCTCCGCTTGATTAATTAATGGTTTCTTTAGAGATTTGCTGAATGTCTTGTTTTCTTTATTTTTCTTTCTTGTAATCTTATCATTGTTACTATGACAATTTTCATAGTTTACTTTTGAATAAATCAACTAATGATTGACATTTATGCAATTAAAAAAACAAAAAGAGTTAATAGTGCTGAATAATAAAGCTGCCATCAGTCAGAATGAAAAATATATTCCTTCTTTTTTAGAAAAAAATGTATTGCATCATATATTTATTACGCTTTTATTACTTTGAAAATTTGCCAGTACCTAGAAGGAAATTGGGAAATAGATTGTGTAAAATAAAGTGGAGAATTCAAATTGAATCATAATAATCTATTGAAATTAGAAATCTTGTTGTAATTCTCTTTGAATATAGTTGTTTATTAATTCTGGCATTTATGAGAAGCAACTAAACAGTTCATACCCAATTATCATTATTATTATTATTATCAGATCATTCAATAAAGTTGTCTTGGCTTGAAATGTAAAATATTTCATCATAGAATTTCCACCGTTAAAGACTTGGACAACAAAAATATAAAATAAGATTTTACAGTAGTGATTTGTATTTAACTGTTTAAGTTTATCGGACAGTACAATGTTTACACCATTTTAAATATATTTCTCTATCTATTAGTGGAGCACTAACAATACTTTTTTTCATGAATGAGGTTTAGTATAGTTACATTTGTATCATCATACATTAAATGAGTAGGAAAATGTACACAACAATCAAGTGTCTCTGTTTGAGTATTTCAGTATTCACCAAGTAAATAATGTAACGAACCGACTGTTCGTAAAACGACTTATTTATTTAAATAAACAGAAAATACATAGCTCAAAAATTGTAATGGGCCACAACTATTCACATTGTAACGGCATAGTTATTTTATGAAAGTCCCTATTTTCAAATGCACCATGTTCAAGATCTATGGCTTCCAAATAATCGTACAAAATTAGATGAGCATAGAGAACCCAGTAAAAAATAGTTTAAAAAAGACAAAACCTTAATTAAACTTACATTATTACAGATTAACATGATAAATTCATAGAAGCTAAGCCTTTGGAGAATTGGTATTTCATAATTACTTAAACGTATTCCTTGCATCAGTTACTTTGTCTAATAATAAGAAATAAAAACTTTTGATTGATATAATTAAATTTATTTTCGGTGAGACTATAATTATGGACGACCTTTGAGCGACGCCAGATTGACCTTGAGAGTGTCATCCTAATAAGCAGAACCAAATAAAGGTTATGAACCTGTGTGTGGAATTAGAATTATAATGTACATCACTAGCTGATACCAGCTATAATGTCAAAACTTTATTTATCCAAATGGATCAGTGAATTTCGTGTCAAAATCCGAGACCCGTTATCTTATACTTTATTGGTTCGTCCGTAAATTATAGTCTCGCCTTATTTTTCTTTTCACCTCATACAGTTTAACTTAATACCTTTACATCTTTCTGAATACCACTTTATTTTTAGCTTTACCAGGTGATCCAGAAATTATTGACTGGGATAAATTCACAAATGAATCTACAAGCTTACTTGTTGGTTCAACAGTTGAAGTTACATGTAGAGTGACTCCACCTGGAAATCCTCCTGGTCAAGTTGTATGGCGCTTTGAAAATCCTTATTCTAATATGAACCTAGATCAGTTAACCGTTTTTAGAAATGATTTACAAATACCATCAATAAAGAATGTTATTTCTATTATGAATGAAAATGTAATCAACCAAATTACGGATGAAAAAATCTTGAGCCGACTAAAAATTACAAATCTTAATTCAACAATGCATGGTTTAGATTTAGTGTGTGCTGTTCGACATCAAGTTGGCCCAGAGAAAACAACAAGGAAACGAATCTGGATTCGACGTAAGCTAACACCTTTTATGTATCAAATATCAAATCGGTTAATAGCTTGTTTCAACAAAATGCTTTCAGGAACTTGTGTACTACATTGATGTCATTTTAATATCATTGCCTATTCAGTCATTTCATGTATAGCTTCATCCAATAGTATTTTGCATTCTATTTAATTTTTGTTTTAAAACTTCAGTTAAATAAGTACAGAGGTATCGTTTCGGTAACTGCTTATCGGGCTAGATAACTAGGAATTGAATCCATTTTATTTCAAATATATTAACTAATCAGTTAAACGAACTGTACCTTGCAATAAATTTGCTCTCAAGCTATGCAAAGGTGAATAAATAAACAGTGTATAACAGTAGCCGGTGTCTTAGATAGTGTAAAACTCAATTTTGACATACAAAGGCATCAACTGAAAATGTTATGTACGTTCTAACTAACCAAACAATCGTTCAATGGTAAATTTAAATGGTCATATAAAAATAAGTAATAAAAATATACCTTTAGGTGTTTAGTTATATTTAACAAAGTATCATGATATACATCTAATGCAAATTAAGAGAATTACCAGTTTACAAATTTGTGCCAAAGTACTTACATCAGCAGAACAGAAAGGGGGGTTCCTGTTTGCATTGAAGAGCACAAATATAAAAAAATGATATCAAAATGTCAAAATATTTTCAACATTTCTATACCCCACCATCTGCTTGGTAGGTGGATACGATAGTGATATGATAAAATCGTCCACATAATCAGTACCGAAAAACTTCGGATTTACTACGTTACGCCGATAACGTTACAATTAAAATGTTGAAAAAAAGGATCCTAAGAAATGGTTGTAAATCTCTCATTACATTAGTAATCCGTATATTTTTTTATTGTCCTACTACGTAATATCTTATATCACATTTGCGATAATGAGTCTTCTTTGCCTTCAATCATCTTACTCTGTTATTCTTTCTAAGAAGTGCACTGTTATTACGTATCATGGACATTGTTATTCCTACTCTAGAAACGTGTCTCCATGTGCTTTAAAATGTTCTCTTGGAACGTCGACAATTAGTAAGATAAATATTCATCCACCTTATCGCTTTATAGTTCATCCATACTCTTTGTTATTTTACTAATCCTTAATAATATGAAATAATGTGCGTTCATCCGTCATAAATATTTATTATTATCATTTCTAGGTTGTAAAGAGCTGACAAGAATCCACGAAATAAATAAATTCACTTTATTCTGCTACGTCTTTTCTTTCTTTATTCACATAGAAGAGTTATATCCCGTACATTGAGATACTACTAAGAATATTAAGTAAAACTAAACAGATTAATATGCAGTGAAGATTGTTTTGTAGAAAAGGGAGGAAATATATCTACATGGATTGGGGTTGCGAGTAACAGTTTATAACGTACCAATGGTAAAACAAATTAGACTGCTGATAGCATAACTTCATTTTGAGATACACTGACCAAAGTAGGCTTGGTATCCATTTGGTATTTTGTTTCTCAGTATGGTGCTTCAACTCAAAGCTATTCACTTTAGTGTACTAAAAGAAACTATATTAAGATATTATAATATTTGGTGACCGTCAATAAATAACGGATATTCCTAGTCGGTTATTCTACGCATTAGATCTTGTGTGTTGCTAAGAGCTCAAAACAAAATGACTGAAATTTCATGATGATTTAATAATATATTCAAATTGTTTTGATGGTCCTGATTTCAGAATTATGTTTTACAGTTTAGAAGAGAAAACGGTGGTAAATGATACATTTAAACAACATTGAACGAAGAAATCAGTGCAAGCCAATTTTTATTAGCACTCACTATCTGTACATCCAGACAAAATCATATTTAAGTCAGAAATAAAAGCAACTTATCACAAGCTTAATTAATATTTCACTTAAAATATTGAAAATGAAAGGTTGAACTACTGGAAAACATATATACGTAAACGAATAAGTTATCAAGTATTTCGTTAATGAACATTTAAGCGAGTAATAAAAATAAACAGATAGTGTATTTAATGGAATCAGTCACAAATGCCTCTTTCTACAAGCATAATGATATATATATATATATATATATATATATATATATATATATATATATGTCAAAGTATAAGCAAGTTATTACGGACTAAAATAAAAGCTATTTCCCAAGTCGTTTTATTCAATGTCCTAATAAGTTCAAATATGTTTAAGCAGGTTTTGGGTTAAGGCTACTATAATGTAATGAATATTAACATTTAATACTCTCAAACATACAATTCGAACGAGCCATATCTAAAGTTATATTTCTTTTTACTTGCGTTGAATCTCTATGCTTGTTTTAATTTTTCATTGAACCGATTGATGTTAGACCACCAATAAAAATCTGGAGGTACTGGACAAAGGTCTTGTCCTAATGTGGCACTTTGCAATAGTGCGCATCCGCGAACCCAGAGCCTTTAGTCTTGTGCAAAAACGCTTAACCTCTGGACCATTGAGCCGGTATATAACGGTGCTTATATCTAACCTTAACCAATCCACACAATTGCGCGACCATCTTGTTTTAATTGGTCAATTACTTGTGCTCAAATGTTGAAGAATTTATTAGCCATATTCCTGACAGGTAAACATTATTAACGAGTCACATTAAATATCAATAACCAATAAAAATAATAATAATAGTAATAAATCAGTCGTTTAGGTAAATAATAATCCATAGTTTCTCGTCTAATCATTGGTTTGTAGTAAATGAATTTTAAATTCCAATTTACTAACAACAAAATCTAATTAAATACATACATATTGGTCTGTTTAAAACAAACAACACTTAGCCAATACACACCAACATAAAAATCATACATTATTTAACTACTTTAAACTAACAAAAAAATGTTAAAGATATTTTGTATAAACCTACGGAACATTTTATTTCGTTTATCTTTTTTTCGTCTTTTTTTCTCGATGTTTTTTTACGTTTCTCAGGTTTCCTTCTTCATCTGATCATCGTTACTTTCTTTTTTCTTTTCTTTTTTTTTCATAAATGTAATTTACGCTGCGGATGTTGAATAAATTAAAAATTCATATTTTCTATATTAAAATTGAATTTATGTAAATGTTTAACTTTAAATGTTTGTAGTGTACTTTTTCTTTCTAAACATTTAAAATTTTATAGAAAGAGGAAGTATAATTAAACTTAGATGTTGAATTTTTTTATTAAAGATAACCATAATTATAATTTAGAATTTAGGTACTTTTGCATAAATTAGTGATTATATAGGTATGCATACAGATACATTTGAAATAATCTCATTGTTTAAAAACAAACGAATGAATTTCATTTTGAAAGCTTCTGAATACATTACAAAACTTTTAGATTGTATTGGTGAGCATAGTGGAGGAAATATTTATAGAGGGAATTTTGTAGAATGAAGATTACGAGCTATGATTTCAATATATCAATGACACCTTCAAGCTAATATGTTATATATATATATATATATATATATATATATATATATATTTACATATATATATCAGATGTGTTGCAATATGTTTACCACACTTTTAGCCAAGGAAGGGAAGCTAGATATATGTTTTGTGAACTTCATTGTTTAAATGTTTTACTGACAAAGCACTCTACTTCTCTTATTGCAAAGTAAGAACAGAATGTAAAAATATTAATGAGACTTAACTGCGAAGATATCACCAAAACAACGTAAATGTGCACCACATCATATATATATATATATATATCAATGAAAAGGTTAGGGACACATGAAACGTACTTTACACCTATCATGACAGTTTATTAAGTAATTAACACCTTTGAATGCCAGCTCAGTGGTCTAGTTGGTTAGGCGACTGGCGCCAGACTGATAAGTCCTGGGGCCGAATCCCGCGAGGCGGAGTCGTGGATGCGCACTGCTGAGGAGTCCCACAATAGGACGAAACGGCTGTCGAGTGCTTCCGGGTTTTCCATGGTGGTCTAGCTTCAATTGACTCATGATCTCAACTACTGAAATTAATAATTTTATTCAAAACCCAGTAAACTTCTGCACAACGATGAACAATATATCAGCAGCTTGAAAATATTATATTCTAATAGTGATGTATTTTAAACTGATATTATTTAATCATAAACGCTTTGGACTACATTCCGTACATTTTTACAAATATATTTATTTTGAGTTAGATAAGTTTAATATGGAAAACTAACATTTTAATTTTAAAGATTAGAAAGTTTTTGAGAAACAATATTGTCTTATTAAATACCAGTAAACTAAAACTGGTCTAAATTCACTTGGTGTTGTTTTACTTGTATCTTACCATTGTTATTTTGGACTGCAATTGATCAATCTCCTGTGGGCTAAAGAGTCCCAAATGAGACGAAACGTTCGTCCTGGATTCTATTGCTAGCCACTATACATCTTTGTTTAAAACTGGTCTATTGAAAATCGATAAATCAGTTGTTGTTGTTTGTGTTTTTTATAAATACAAATTAATCTTGATTAAAATTTAATCCCTTTGGTAAATTTCGATAATGCAATGAGGAGACGAAGGGTATCAGAATTATGTGATATACTTGCGCAATACATTTCGAACAATCTGATTACACATATACTTGTTAAGAATAGTTTAATATGTAAAATAAAAGGTAAACCAGACACGTTAAAGGTGAGCTGTAACAAAGAAAATTAACGTACATGAAAACAATGTGATAACCACTCTGGATAAGAAATCAGTATTACTAGGATAGGTTCAGTGTAAGAACAAATTGTTTTTGAACAACAAAAGGGGTTACAGTTTCCGCATAGTCAAGCCTTCAATAAACTTTATAATACGTTCTAGAAGGCTTTAGTATAAAAATTACAAAGGCTGACTTGATATCAACCTTATGACTAGTTTCAACCAAATGTTTCGCAATGGAGGAAGATGTCTGTCTGTCCTGTGATCTCGCTTGACCATTGTAATTCATTTGTTTCTACAGCAATTCGGATACTTTAAACCTGTCTAGTTGACCCTTTATTTTTCATATTAAACTATTTTTAACAAGTATATTTGTGATCAAATTGTTCAAAATGTATTGCGCAAATATATCACATAATTTTGATAACTTTCGTCTTCCCATTGATTAAAATGTATTGTCATAACTCAATAAAAATATTAACAAACAGTTACAAAATTATGTTCGGAAATGTACGCATACATAAATTGTCTGACGTAAAAAAAACGGCACTATATTTGACTTTTCACCAAAAGAAATACATTTTTGAATGATATAATAATATACATGACCGTCTATATACAACGATAAATGAAACTAAAAAGTAGGAGTGTGGTGAACAAGAACACATAAGGGAATAATAAAATCTAGTTGAATACAAAATTATAGAACATCTTAGTAAAATGTGAGAATCATACAGTAAATACTTCATTTGCAAAATGTAAATCAATTGTTTCAAACTTGACTGTTCATTCTGCTACTGTGAATTAATCATCTCAAAATTCATTATTCTTTTGATTCCACTCTAATCACTATTTGTTCTTGTTCTTTCTTCTTTGATCTTCTCCCTCCAGACTTTTCACTTTCAGTTGATGATACATACTACTTTTGAATAGAAACTTTTCATTATTTGTTCACATTTTAAACAAGTGAAATGTTTCTCATTTTTTTCATAATTATAGTGTTTTTCCGCTAAGTTATACAACAAGTGATTTTTTCTTAGGTAGTAGCACGCCGATAACTACATCTTACATCATTTTGTTAACATCTATTTTACATTATGAATTCTATAAATCTTTGCTGATATAATATTCAATTAGCTGAAATTTTATTACAGACAGAAAAGTTAACTAACAATCTAACTTTATTATTATAATTACAAGAGAAACAAAAGAAAAATTAGAGAACAAACGTAAAATGATTTAAAGAAAGAAGAAATGAACGACCTAGTTGTTTTATAGTTTTGTAAGCTCTTCATTCAGTCAACAAATGTTGTGACTAGTAATAATATTTGTTTGTTTCATTACACCTAGAAAACGTTAATGAAAATAATTTAATTCACTTATTGATGCATATTAACGTACAATGCTCAATTTTTATTCTTAATTCATTCTCTTCTTGTGGTCTTCATTTTGTAATATACACCTTAGCCTAGTTTCAAGCGTTTCATACTCATTCTTTACTTTCAAAACATTTCTTCTTTTATTTTTCTCCTCGTCTAGTATCCTGGTTGTTATTATCTTATTTTTTTGCTTTATTTCGTTCCTTCTTTACTTCATTCGTTTGTATAATTTGTTTGAATAATTAAAGTTAAAACTTCATAATATAGACATTTAAACTTTCATTAGTCACGCAACAGTAAATAGTTAAAACATTTTGAAAATGAATTATAATAATTTTTTATTAAAAAAATACTTTATTATAGAAGTATCAAATGAGTAGAGTGAAAAGAAATTTCCCATTGTGCAATAAATTGGCAGATTCATTTATCATAATTTTCACTACAATGAATATAATGTCATTATTATTTATATATCTGTTGTGCTGGAAAAAAAAGCGTTGATCACTTATACTCGGAACGAGGGATCTCGGCAATTCCCACAATGCGAAAGTAAGAACACAAGACTGATATAAGTGAAGATTTATTAGCCCAAACACTATGACAACGACGAATCGAATCTAGTCTAAAATACGCTGGTTTATTTATTGATTGTACACCCATTTTGACTAATAATTGAGATTAGATCACATACTCAGTTATAACAAATCACTTACTGAGCATAGTTCATGTCAATTAAATGCGAGAATATCGTATACTATACAGAAGAAAATATCATACTGGAAAAACAATTAAATATTACACTGAATGGTCCTCACGTTGAATCAAAACGGATGTAATATTGAATATAACTCATGATGAGTAATTTAATCGAAAATTGACTTTTCTTTCCATCATATCAAGCAATAATTAATCTACTGTGTATAACTCGTGTCCTAACAATATCTAAATCATTTCTTCCTTATTGAAATACATAATAAGTAGTCTATATATACATAAATTTCTATATATATACTTGATAAACGATGTACTATTTCTTAAAGAATAATGCATTTGTTTATCTTTAACAAGTAAATAAACATTATGGTACTAATAATAATAAACAAACAATGAATAGAAAGAAAATAGTCAAAATGCAAACTAATTAAATTTCTAGTTTTTCTATGGTGGCCTAGTTTCAATCGATTCATGATCTCAATCATGAAAAATTAAATCTTTGCTAATCTGATTCAATGTTATCAGTATTGTAACTAAAATGTTAATGTTAGATTTTTTCCTTCATATATTTAATTTACCTTATTTTATTTAAACGGAATGTAATATTTAGGCTTTTAAATATATAATAAGAAAACGTTTTATTTCACTGAAATAAATCATACGTTACTTAGAAGACACATTATTTCCTATTATAAACAATCATCTAATTCGACTGACTCGATTACATGTTGTTTATAATTTTGTACGGTTTTGGATATCTAGTCTTATATACTTCAATAGAAAACGTATTACAATGTTGCTTATGTATATATATGCAGAAGTGATTTTACTGTTTCATATATAAAACAACATGGTGTTTAAAAAAATTAATATCTAGTAACCTGAAATTCTTTTTTCACAGTTTTTGTATAGATCGAACATTCTATTTTCCCGTTCATTTTAATGTTTCGAAGATCATTCTTATAAATTTTAACATTTATCTTATTTCGATATGAGTAAAAAGAGCACCTCTCAGCGTGTTTAAGCAAAGGTCTGGTGAGGAAAGTGGACAGATCTATACTGGCCCATTTAGTACAAACTAGTGATAGTGTCAGTATAAACCGATCCTTCTCAATTATTTATAGGGTCAGTAATATTTTGCCAAAGCTTGTCAGACTACATATCTTTCAAACAGATTAAGTAGTAGCCATCCGGATAAAGAAACAGGAGCATTGTGTACAAAAAAAGTATCTTTAAACGCTCCTCCTCCCCTGGCTAATCCCATGGGCAATTAATCAATGACAATCTTAGCTATAAAATGAATTAGTTGTACTATTGTATCCGAATGCCGGCTCATTGGTCTATAGGTTAAGCGCTTGCGCGCGATCTACATGAATTTCAGTATATTTAAGAACTTTAACAATTTCTTTTTTGTACGATGTGTACACACAGGACCTAAACTTCCTGGGTTCGAATCTCCAGAGGAGGAAGTGCGGATGCGCACTGCTAAGGAGTCCCACAATAGGACGAAATGGCCATCTAGTGCTTGCAGATTTTTCATGGTGGTTTAGCTTCAATTGACTCATGATCTCAATTATTGAAATTAATATAATATCTACAAAAACCCCTTCTGATATTAAATTATATGTATTCAATTCTAGTAACAAAACAATAACGGATACAAAAATAAACATAATGAAATTAAAAAGACTTTGATTAGGACAAGCCAGTATTTTGGCATAAAACAGTGACATTATATACATATTTATGGTATTCTAATTTGGTGTTTACGACCACCACTGTGTTTACATTATATTAAGGTTTAGATTCCTCTCTGTTCAAATGACTTTAAAACCTCGTAATATAGAAGTATGAAAATCTGGATTCATACACCTCATCAGTATCCTTTGTATATCTGACTGTGATCGAGTAACAAAATTACTTTTTTTATATAATCAGCGCAACTATTAATTTTCAAGCCAACTGTTGAATATATATTGAAGGAATTAGGTTTTTATATTTATTATTATAGACGTTATCAATAAACATGTTAGTCCTAAAGATTCATTTTTTTCACAATAAATTTACCATTGACTAAATTGTTTCACTTTTAATTCAGAACGTTTAATAAACCAGTAAACGGATAACTTTCAATTGAGGATAAAATGATAACTATTTTCTTTTTACACTCTAACCAAAATTATTTATAACTTTTTCAAGCAGAAAAAAAAACGGGATTAAAACGTTTCATGGATTAGTTAAGAAATTAAGAACTGGTGGAAATAGTTTTTTGATCAGAATAACTTTCTTAACTAAATATCTAAAACTGATAGTTTTTCATACATTTACAGGTTTTTATAAAGATAATCCAAACCAAGGTTTGTATTGCCTGATTTTAGTTAAGTACGTATGTAGACTTAGATGGTGGAGAAGATTTGTAGCTCAGGTGGATGATTTTGGTGAAGTTTTGTTCTCTGAGCTGGATGGTTTGGTCGTGAAGCTTCCATCATTCTTCTGAACGACAGCATCAGCGCAAACTTCAGATAGAAGTGAAGTGTTAGAATTTCTCCATCGTTCAGAAGAACGATGAAACCTCCACGACCAAACCATCCAGCTCAGAGAACAAAACTCCACCAAAAATTGTATGTAGACTGTAATTCAATCCGTTTCTTATCAAACTTAATTTGATGCGGCTAAATGACATTCTTTTAAGTATTTCATGTATCTATCATAAACTTTGCATGGATAACGTACAATAAAGTTAAGTGTATTTCTCAGGAACAATTTTAAAAAAAATTTATTTCACTAATAAATAGCCGAACAGAATTTACTGGTAGGATTGCGGAAATTCGTTGATGTAGGTCTTCTGAAGTATGTTCGATTATAATATTGATCTAAATAATAATAACAACTATGCAATGATGAGTTATATCTATTTGGAAAGATGAAATCACAAGAAACATGACAAGTTGACATTTTGAATGTTACTGTAGTTTTTTTAAAAATAAGATAATAGAATTGAAATAACAAGAAGTTTCAATAGACAAGTGTTTAAAATCAATAGTTGATCTTCGGATTATCCATTGATTAACGGTTGCGAATTATCAGTAGCATTTGTTTTGTGATAGCGTTTCAAATGCCAGTATGTTCCAGTTTGGTAAAGAATCCTATCGTTTTTTTCTGTTAATTATCATCTCTAATAATATCTTTGTGAAAATGAAAAAATCGTAAGTACTTTACTTTTAAATTTCAGATGGTCCGCACCATGTCAATATATATGGTCCTTATGAAAGAATAACTGAACTGAAACAAAAAGTAAATGTTTATGATAAATTAGAGAGAAAAGATAATAAAAGCACAGTGACTACTGTAAATAAACAAAAGTTGTATGTTTATTTAGACAGACCACAATATTTATCATGTATTACTGATGAGTATTATGGACAAGTTGAGATTAAATGGCGGGGTAAATTACACAACAGTGAAAATTGGGAAGTTATTACTCCAATAGAATCATTTCCATGTAACGAACCTGATGCATTAAATAATTTTAATATTATTCAAGCATCAATTATACAACTGGTTACAACAAATCAAAAACGAAACGCTTTAATGTGGACAGAAATAGAATGCAGTGCTTTACCAAGTTATTTCAGAGAAGAAAATAAAAAAATTATATCGAACAAGGTCAATCTGGAAATGTATAGTAGGTATTGCCTTTTTTTAAAGTGAGAAATAATGGTAGAATTAAAAGCCATTACTTTTTCGAGTATATTCTACACTTGTCAATTATTCTGACTGAAAATAAGAGCTACTTAAGTTGAAAATTATTTGGAATAGTTTTATCTTCATACGATAAATATGTGATGCCATCAAATTTCTTCTTTTTTCCAGTTGCATATTATAAACTGCTAGTTTGTCTATTCTCTCCCTTCTACCTATGGACATTTAAATGATCTTATTATTAGTATTATCCATATAATCCAGACGACGTTTTCATTGCTATTTTGCATTACAGTCACATGAATTCACCTTAATTATTGTAATTCGATATCTTACAGAGCATTTCGTAATATGCAATTAGCATATGCATACAGTATAATTTTTGTTGTAGCTTTCGAGCCTTGATAGTTACAAATTTCGTAGGTATTTAAATATATATTTGGCGTAAAATACACTATTTCTAATTTATATAACCAAATCATATTCGAAGATAAACTGTACGTTGTCATGTAATCTAGACGCAGAGCAGTCAGTAATTACTGTTACGTTCATTCATTTAGCCACTCAATTGTAGATAATTTAGAATAATTTATATTGTAGAGTTATTCGGAGGTATGACGTTTGCTATGTTGTAAATTTTTTATCACGATTGAGTGTGCCACACTTGACACGTCGTAGCATGATGGAGTGTTATTTTCGTCATACGAAACTCTACGGTTTTCATGAGAGCCAGAAAAACGTCAGAGAAGGAAACACATCTTCCATGATGGATTGCGATGATATAAACAATAATTATTACTTCTTTTTGTTTGTCTGTTATGTGTAGGGTCAAAATTAAGAAAAAAAGTGGAGTTTGTTCCTCACCTAAAGGAGAGACTAGAGATATTGCAGTTTAAACAGCTTGTCGAAAATGGATTCAAAACATTCCTTCAATATTTAGTATTGATACACTTATTTACGAAGACAATGTATCACACATTTCGTTGTGGTGACGTTTTTTGTGGCTACTTTAACTGATACTTCATTACTATTATTACATTATGACAATGTTGAAGCTTAGAAAACGTATTCTGTCAAAAGAGTTCGACAGTATATATGATTTTGTGGTTATTGTATTTTGATATGACTGTTCAAGCTCACAAGTGGACAACTCTATAGTGACTAAATTAGGCCTTGAGTTGAATGATAATTTTTCATTAGCAAGTAACGTTGTTTATGACGCAATTCAAACTGGCTACAGTATATAGATAGGTTTTTCATGGAAATATGGTGACTGAATCATGGAATGCGTTTTCAAAAAGCTTATTTAGTTGTTATTATTTCTTAAATTTGGTTCTTTTTTAGCCATCCCTCGCATTCCGACAATTACGGGATATAAGGAAGGCACACTATTGGCAGATGGCACTATACTAACACTCCACTGCACAGGAGATCAAGGAAATCCTCCAGGAAAACTAGTCTGGACTCAAGGTAAGACTAATGGGAATATTTAATTCATGAACGCGTTCAAAATTTAGGTCTGCTAATAAGTTGGAGTTGGCGTTTGATTTTTGGTTGTCTATTTCTTGATATTTAAAAATACATCTCGTGGTTCAACTATCTATTACTACGTTCATAAAACCCTAAATCTACACTTGACTTAGCGATGATTGTACATCAACAAAGATCTTTTACGGCCTGCTATATCCATTACATGTAAGTAATGAAAAGCTTTAAGTCCCGCTGAAACATTTCTATCCTACTAGATTGACATCTTGCTGTTGTAATAACAGTTACATCTGACAAGTTATAATTCACGTGTTCCTTTCATTACTTCATTTCTATTATTTTAATTACATCAGTTCTATGCTAGGAGTTCAGTAATATTTACAACAATGGTAATATTTCTGTGTAAATGAGTCGTCAAATCTTTGAAAAAAAGTGTATTATAATTTTAAAACTGTGGTTGTTTATCGTAAACAAGATACCTAGGAATGTCAAGGTACGATATTATTTATTTATTTACTCTAATAAGTGATAAATTAACCATCTTACGGTAACTAATATACTGATGTAGTGAAAACCAATGACTAAACAATTTATCAAATAGTAAAGTTTGTCTTCTAATTACTCTTAATAGATAAGCGTAATGAACCTTTGAGCCTAAATCAATCAGTTAAGCAAATAAACACGAATAGATGTCCAAGAATTTTATAATTTACCGATATTTTAAATCACGGACTAACCTCAACTAGACAACATTGACAAACAGGAGGCATTCGACAACTATATAATTTTAGTATGAAGTTCCTCACCAATTTACATGAACTCCATTACAGGTAAAATCGAGAAACTTCACGCTTCACAGCACTTTGTTACTTTTGAACCAGCTAATTAAAAAAGGTTACCTGGAATCACCGATTTTAGTCATTGGCCACATCGATACAATACTAAGGAACACTTCTCACATAAGTAAATTTTATTTTGGCTTTCTTTATGACTAACACTGATTAATCAACAGTCATAAATTGTTTTATGTTTATTTCATTTGTTTATCATAAAAAATAGGTGTGACCAATAAGTTAGTAAACATATTTGTTAGTAAGCATTCAGTTGTACTTACCATTTCTGTAGATAATTCTAAGCTAGTTAAAATAGATTAACTGTCGTTCTGTCTCTCATGAAACAGCTTGACTTACTTTAACTTTCTGAATTTATATTCTGTTTATGTTCTTATTATTCCTTCAGTATTAAAAGGTACCAATGAAAGTGAATTAATTGATGAGTCAAATATTATTCAACAAAATCAATCGAACAAATATCCTGATGGAATGATTTATTCAATATTAAATATTAATCTGACAAAATCATATGATGGAGCGATTTTTAGGTGAGTAATGATTTGTCATGTTAGATACTAAGTGTGTGTTCCTTGTTGAAGCAATGAACAATTAAACAACTCTAGAAATTTCACCATGATGATAAAGAAACTTTATTTAGTCGAAAAAAAATGTTGTGAATGAAATTATCTAATAAGTCCAGTATGGAATTATGAATGAAGGCTAATCAAAAACTTTTACTTATACTGAAAGTAATTCAAATACACTCTAGACGATACTTTGATAGTTTTGAAGTCGCTTTGTAGAAATTCTTACTGGAACTATTAAAATAATTAATATACGATAATGACTGCTTCATCCCCTCTTAACATCCATTTAATCACTCATGTAGTATCAGTAACTTCATAAATCTTCTGACTGAACTCCTGAATCGGTTTCCTAAACTCTTCTAATAACCTCAGGTTCACTCTACACAATAACTTGAACACGAGAGAGAAGGCGCGAAATATGGAAACAACGCTTTACGCCAAGGTTAGTTCATGTACAGAAACTTTGGAGTATTTATAGCATTTCAAATAACCTTGAGCTTTTGAAGGGTTCTATGACGCGAACAAACATAGTAGCAGGATATGAAATAATCCAATCAGAAATGTAACTTCTGACTCTTCACTTTCTAAACATTTCTGAGAAACGTCTGTTCAACGCTTATTAAATAAAATGTTTCCTAGCGTTTTCAGGGCCCCACTTAACTTTTTCAAGGAATACTCCAGATCTCTTCACCATTACCTTCATAAAAAAATTAAAAGTAGAAACTTAGTCAGTTTATTAATTCATATTATCAAATCATCACAAACGATAGATCTTAAACATTTGCTTTATTTCAAACACACTTCGAAGTTTTTCATCTTCTATAGTAAATAATGGTTACAAACATGTGAATATTCAAATATAAGTTTGATTTCAAACGTAAACTATTGATTATAGAGAATATTATTCTTTTATAATCATGTATCTAGTTATATTTATTCAGTTGAGTGATAAATGATTGTTTCGTCCCTTTTATTATCTCAATTCTGTAATTATAATAATGACAGTGATACGCATTATTCTTTATTCTATCAAAGTTGGAGTTGTTTCTTCATTATCATTATCATAATTTTTTCATAACTATTGTTATTATATTATTTTATCTATATTATTTTTTGATTATGTTGTTACTAATATGTTTAGGCACAATCCCGACAGACTAATTATAATGGTATAAGATGAAATGACAATGTTACATTAAGAAGAATAATTGCCACCATTATACCATTATACCATGTCATTTGAAATAATCATATATCAATAAGAGTAACTCACAGATACATTGTTATTAGAGAATGATTATTTAGAAATATCAGATTACTATATTGAGATATTTATTTTTAGTTGAAATAAAATATATTTTGTACTTTAATCAAAAAGGAATTATAAAAGAGATAAATGTGTTATGTGGTGAATGATAATGTGGAAATCACATGGAAAAGAATTCAATATTGGATTCTTACAATGAAATTGTTTAAGGAATATGTATTCATTTATTAATTGAATTCATAATTCGATTGGAGCTAGACCACCATAGAAAACCTGGAAGCACTAAACAACTGTTTTTTCCTGCTATGGGACTCCTCAGCAGTGCACATCCACAATCCAACCTCACGAGATTCAAACCCAGGACCTATCGGGTTCGCTCGCGAGAGCCCTCTGAATATGTAATAAATAGTCTATTGTAATTGAAGGATAAACTAATTTGTTTTTCATTAAATGTGATTCGATCTAATAACTGTTTTATTCAACATTGCCTTACAATAAAAAGATTTAAGCAAAATATCTAATGATATTGTGGCTAATTCTAGGTTTATATCCAATTTAATTTTACAGATTCGAGAAGGAGGATAATAAAACATCTTTTTGTAACAGTGTTTGTACATAATTTTTCTTAAAATCTTCAAGTGTCCGAAGCAGTCAGTCTTTTCAAAGTTTCTGATCCAATGATTTATATTACTAGATGATACATTCCAATATATTTGTCTTGTAGTTCATCAATATGAATTCAATTAAACCTCTTTATTCAGTTGGCAGAAAACAAGAAAAATATGTTATATATTGTAATATTTCTTCTTGAACATGTCAATATACTATAGGTCTCTTATAGTAGCACATGATTATATGATATGACCATCACATCTAAATAACTAATTACAGCAAATCTAAAATAACAATTTTGAGAGCAATGATACCACAGTTAAAAATTAGTTAGTGTATATAGATATAAAGTAACCATGAAAAAATTTGCCAGTATCGAATATGATTCCAAACTTCTGAATAACCTAGGAACTTGAGCAATTTATTATAACGATAAGAAAGCTGTTTTAGATGACGTAATAAAGCCTCGTTACACAAAATACGTTTTTAAGGGTTGATTTAAAATCGAATTTCTTTATATTTAATATGATAATTAAAAATTTCGTCAGTGTAACCAAAACTATAGATGATACCCTGCGTATTACCTATCGTTAGACATTATGCAACACCGATAGACTTTAAATATGGATTCCATTATATCCAAACTATGTGCCTTATATATCGTATAAATAAAGGTCAATGATGTAAGAGTTTCGAAATATTATTATAACACCTTTTTCATCGACGGGAGTGACATTTTGTCATTAAAATGGGCAGAATATAGATTTATTTAGAATCACAGGATTTACTTTTCAGACTTGCAATAGATGTTCTAACGTTTATTCAATTTTATTTAGATGTGGAACTGTGAATCCTGGTTACGGATATTCAGATGCACAGTTCAGTTTACCAGTAGAAATTGGTGTATCCTATTCAGCAACAGTTTTAAATATTAGTGTCATAAGTGGAACTGGACAAATGATAGCAGGATCAAAAATACGTGATGAACTTCAAACTATTTTAAGTTATCATAAATCAAAATACAATGTTGGACATATTCCAATAGTCCAAGCAAAAGCTGGTCATACACTTAAACTAATGTGTCAAGTTGAAATGTCAAATCCAAAACCTGAACTAGAATGGCAACTTCATCATTGTTCACCTGTTCAATTTGCATCAATTATGAGAGGAATCAACGATACAATCAACGATATGAAATCACAAAGTGATCCTTATGATGCATTTTTTAAAAGCTGTCAGACTATTCACTTAACAGGTAAGCATTATTTTAATTACAATCTAATTAATATCAATGTTATTAAAACGGATATTTTCCAAAATAATTTAGTTGATCGTAAAACAAGATTCGAAGAACGAATTGTATTCTGATCACTGAGAGTCAATCATTTAACATTAAAAGCTATTTTTCATCAATTAATAATATTGTCTGCTAATCAGTTAAAAACAAGCTGCGCTGTACGCTTATTTTATCTTTGTTTGGGACTCTTTGACAGTTTGCGCTCAAAACTTTACCAGAGAATAAATTATGGTCGGGAACACAAGAAACCAATCCTTTTTACACTTGGAATTGTTTGGCTTGTATCTTCCCATTGAGGTTTAAGACTGTATTGATCGGTCTGTTATTGGCATATGTGCATACTCTGCGTATGCCTTGATATTGCCTTAATTCACAAGCTATTTGTAAGCAATGATGGATAGTGGCTAGCAGTGGAATCCAGGACGCGTGTTTCGTCCTATTTGGGACTCGTCAGCTGGATGTGCCTGCATCTCAGAGTTGATGTTCACTATGGGACTCGAACCCAGAATCATTCGCTTCAAACGCCATCGCGTTATCCACTCAGTTACTGAATCCTAATAGCCACATATATTTTGCATCATATTTTTGACATAGTTACTTCATTTTTCATCAATTGTTTTGTTTTTAGGTAGTAAAATGGAAGAAACGATAAGTGAGTCAGGCAAACTTCACATCTTAAATAGCCATTTGGAACTTCCTATAAATATATCACATGATGGAGATTTAATTGAATGTTTAATAAGAAAATATCCAATTGATTATACTAACAGTTCTGCTCATTTACAGTCATTCGATAAATACACATTCTCTAAACCTTATTATCAAAATACACATTCACAAGCCCTTACACTTTTAAATTCACATATTTTACTTTCTATTCAATTTCCACCGATATTTTTAACTTTAGCAAAACAATTGAATTGGCCTGTAGAGTTGAATTCATCAAATAATAATGAACAATTTTTACCACATTATATTGTGGTTGAAGGTAAATCTGGTTATAATTAAATTAGAGTTGAATGCAGCAGTAATACTAAATACAATTTAAAACATCTAATACTTGTATTTCCATAAGATGAATAAATTTCTACCAAACTAAATCTCAACAAAATGGAGTTTAATAGTTGAGATCATGAGTCAATTAATGCTAGAACACCATGGAAAACCTGGAAGCACTGGATGGCCGTTTCGTCGTAGTATAGGACTCCTCAGCAGTTCGAATGTTGCGAGGCGGGATCGTGGACGCGCACTGCGGAGGAGTCCTACAGTATGACGAAACAGCCATTCAGTGCTTCCAGATTTTTCATAGTGGTCTAGCTCCAGTTGACTCATGAATTCAAATTTTACATAACCAGTATTATATAAGTATAAAAGATTAAGTGTTTTAGTAAAACAAGGATTGAACTTCGTTAGTAGCCTATTTTCAAAAAATGCTTCAGAACATGCTCAGTATATCACATCATCAGTATGATTTTATAATCATTTCCATCGTTTGATTATGAAATTTTTAGTAAAAATTTCAAGTTCTTGGGGATTTAGCTAATAGTTTTTCCAACAGTTTACCTCCTATTGATAATAAGCAAAGTGAACGGTGGTTACAATAAGAAGAATAAAATTGTTAGGGTGTTCCTAAGACTCATGATTTGGATTTGTCCTTCAAATTATTATGTAATATAATATCTCGGAAATTTATTGAATATTAATAATCTTGACTTAATACAGATAAACATTTTTAAAACGAACAGAAGACTGATAATAAAAGAGATCCTTTAAAAGAAATTTTCGAGATTGTTCGTTTAGAGTCTTTTCTTAACAATGTCTCGTTCAAAGTGTAGGATGTAATCATCATGAGATCCCTGGAAAGTACAACCAATACATTTTATTATCGAAGCCAAAAGAGTTTATAGAACTAAGAATACTCACAAGATTTATCTTATTTGTAAAAATCAATTTACACGAAGACCAATGTTGCTGCCAATATCTACTCAGTTGACTCAGTTTCTAGAAATCGGTAACAATACTAAGTGTTCTTTTAATTTTCAACTTAATTATGATACAATGCCTGAGATTATAATAATTACATTACTTCAAACGTATTACTGTAAATTAACTTGAATAGTTGATTTGTAACTTATTCACAAATTAATCTCATGAGATGTGATACATTTCAATGATAAAGGTATATGATAAAAAACCTGATTGTTATTACAGTCCAACATTATACAATGAATCACTGAAAATCAAAGGGTGCAAGAAAGCAAATCTATTGGGATATCAAATGGAAATGAGGTCACTTAATTTCAAAGTAATAATCATATGATACAATAGTCACTTTCTTTGTTAAACAAATATTCTGCTTTACCCGTGTTTATTATTATTCTTATGTACGGTATTGATCGTATCAGCAGCCGTAGATAACAATAATAAGTCATCTGAAAGTTAAAATTACATTATTCTTGTTCATTAAAAATGAATTTTTAGCTACTAAGGTTATTGATAGTCTTCAGCAAAACGTTTCAGAACTGAGCGAAATGTTGACTGCTGTTTATAGGAGTAACGTAGTTTTTGAAACACTTCTTATCATATACATCAAGAGAAGACAGAAATCAAACCTTAGCAATGAATTTATCATAAATCGTGTGTCGAATGATATCTAAAAATTGGTGGGGGCTCTTAGGTATAAGCGTTAGATAAATTATGCTATTGTTACTAAGCGAGTCAGTAGTCATGTACTGAGCATATTATGCTGCTACCCCAGAGATATCATTTACTTTAGCAATAAACATCCAAAATACTATATAAACAATTACAATATTTAATGACAGCAATATTTACAAACACTTACGTAAACTTATAAAAGATGTAGTGAAAATAAACTATCATAGTAAAATATTTGTAATGGGTTGGAAATACCACCATAACCTGTTAAATGTAACTAGTATTTCTTCCTAAATCAACTTATTCTAAATTCTGTGAATAGTTTCATTTATTAAGTATCGTCTTCATAGCTTACTATTTTAGGTCCTTTAGTTTTCTTCAAACAATGATTGGTGTTCTATTTGGTTTATAGTTGTGTTTCAGATGAATTCACCATTGTCTTCATCTTGATATATTCAGCTTGTTTCTTTGAGAGCATACACTGTGACAAGCATATTTATTGATTTCTTAGGTCAGATATACCTTATATGTTTTATAAAATAAAGTGTGATCACGTTCGTCAAAAAAGATTGGATTTGTTTCAAATATCACAATTTTGTTATTCTCATTACATCCATTATGCAATAGTAAGGTTTAGCCTACTGTGTTAATTATAAGTTTCTGTTTAGAAGAAATCAATAACAATATACTGAACTTTGTTCTTATAATTACGAGAATAAATGGTTATCCTTCTGCTAAGTCAAATGAATTTGTCACTAGTCTCCACAATAGTGCAACGTTCTTCAAAATTTTACAAGTGAACAAAAGTTTGAACTACATTGTGCAACCGAATTTGATATTTATTCAGAATAGCCAAGAGAATAATTTTATAGACAACAAATATGTTTCGTACAGGTTTGTGAATTTTTATTTTTATTTTTAGAGCTAGACGTTCACTGAATCCAAAAGACATGCATGAAACTATCACTATTTGCCAAACATCCGCTACCGATTTTTGTACTCGATTGTATTCGATTACTCCATCTAACACTATCACGATTAGTTCAGTAAAACTTCTGAGTAAAATTTCATTTGAAATGACCAATCTTCAATAATATTTTCTTACTAATTTGAATGGCATAAACAACTTGATTCCACTACCTCTTCCAACTGTTTAGATTTATAAGCATTCTTCGACTCTGTTATTGTGACCATAAATTGAACGTATGAAATAAATCTTTTAGTTTATGCTAAATTTGTGTCATAACAAAAGTGAATTAAAATGAAATTATTTCATAAATTTGTTACATTTTCAATTTTCTTCAGGTGGATCACTTGATTTAGATTTAGAGCCTATTTCTAATCCATCATTAAGTAAAACATCATGGTTTAGAAATGGCATACCACTTCCATTATCAAATAATCCAATTAAAACATTGAATTCATTCAAAAATGAAGAAGTTAATAAAAGTTCTAAATCATATTCTATTGAAGATTTAAATCAACGTTTAATAGTACAACCAACCAAATTATTTATTCATCCTGTTAAACGATCAGATATGGCCAATTACACACTGATTGTAACTAATGCTCTAGGGAGTAAAGAATTTACATTCTTTTTAAATGTAACTTGTAAGTTATAAATTATTTATTCATTACATAATATTGTTTCTTCTTTTTTACAATATTCACAATGATGTAACACATTAATATTAAATCTATAAAATGTAATTTGTTGTTAAGGAAAAAATGATTTTTGTCTATTAATTGATAAACCATAGGATATCACTAAGATTGATATTTTTTTCTATTGTTGGGAAAGAATTTTAATCATATTAGATGCTGTTTCAAGATTTCCAGTAAAGAGATAATAATGATAAATAAAACTGAAGAATTGCTTTGAAATTATTAATTTTACTGATACATTTAGTGATATAATGTTAAATAAACTTGGAAATGTTTCTCTGGAGTGATTTTTAAAACTTACTGATTATTTGTCACTATATGACTTAAAAGTAAAATAGGTATATCATTAACTTACAAGAAATTCATGATGGTCATGTGGATCAATTTCGTGAATGTTGGTTCAATGGTTTAGAGGTTAAGCGTTGGCGCGCGAGACCGATATGTCCTGGGTTTCAATCTCGCGGAGTGAGATCATGGATGAGCACTGCTGAGGAGTTGCACAATAGGATGAAATGGTCGTCCACTGTTAGCAGGTTTTCCATAATGGTCTGACTTTAATTGACTCGTGATGTCATCTTTTAAGTTTTTGATAATCAAAACATCTTAATCCTAGATGTCTTGTTAGTTCAATAGAAGAAGGATGCTATGCAGTCATGACTAGAGTGGAAGATAGATTTAGATGCCATATCTTTCCTTTTATTTTATGCCATTTTAAAGCAAGATATCTGATTAATCAAAATCATTTGCCCTAATTTTTCAACGAAACAGCGTAATGCCAATTTATTTATTAAAACAGGTTACGTATCTGAGAGAACCGATTAATAAGTGTATGATAAAAGAGGAGGTCAAACTTCAAATTATGACGTTTCCAAAAAAATCAATATTTTTGAAAGCATTATCTCTATATTGTTCATAAAAAGAATTATGGTTAAAACTGCGTATTTATTGGATACCACGGTTGAATTATACTCCGACAAAATATTAAGACTAGCATTTTTAATCTTACTCCATAGTTGTAGTTTTAACTATTCCAGTGACCGAAATTAAAAAAGCACACAAATAAAAAAATTAGGTTCTGCACTTTCGTATTCAGATATCGTGGTGTCAATTTGATTGAAACAAAATTTACATAAAATACTTATCGAATAAAAGTCAAACGTAATATATTGATTTTTATCATTAAAGGTGTAGGCTTGGCAACTCTAACAGCCATTTGATCATCTTACACCATAGTACAGTGAAGCATCTGGCCATTTCATCTTAAGTCGCAGAAAAACTGCCTACATGGGAAACTTATTTTTTAAATCCTTATAAAAATAACTTGAGTTGTTCTCAATTATTCACAAGAAAGTTTTCAATACTCTTTATAGCTAAATAGATTCCTTTCAAATTGTCACATCTACCCAAACATATTAGTCATATTATACAAAATAACAGTCAAATAGGTTGAAAATGAAATACTTTCAACGATGACATTCATTACAGCCCACTCAAAAGTTGTCATATTTATAAAGTGAAACAGTTTATAAAGTAGTAAATTTCTGGGAACAAACATATCGCATATTATATTGCAGACGATAGATATGAAAATCCTTGGGTAAGTAATACATATCAGTTTTCAATGTTGTAGAATAGTCATATTTTGAAAACGTCGTTTCTCAAGATGTTTGCTAATTGAGCGTATGTTATAAATATTCATATCTTGTTTACCATAATTACGTAACCGATTGTTTATTGTTAATCATTGTTCACTGATCAATTGATAACCGTCATCAATTATATTACAAGATGGGCCGCAACTAATTGGTTCCGCTTCGGTAAATGTGACAGTTTCTGGTAAAAGGCTGAATTATTTTGTCAATCGGAAGCTAATCCCACACCCACGACAAATGCTGTCCGCTGGAGGCGTTTAACAAACACTCTGATTAGTTATGATTCCGCAGAAAATATCTACAGAAATTCAATCTCCCGAGCATCTTTTCTACAAAGAGTCATACTTCTCAGGCTGATTCAGCTGCTGGGATTCATTGTGATAAAGTAAGTTCTTAACATACTTTGATCCATTTTACAGTTACGTATATAGCGCTACCAAATCTCTATTTCAGGTGGTCTGAAAAGCCAGCTTGTCTTTGATATTGTCGTCTACTTCATTATAGACAGCGTGTATCAGTTTCAAATTACACATCCAAACTTTGTATATAACAAAATCTAGTCTACTAAAATAAACGAACCGTTTTGTAGCCTATTATTACTAGCTTTATTATATTTTTGGTACAATATACAATTTTCGGCACGAAGCATTTCAGTGAGTTTCCATTTCATATTTCTTGGTCGATATTAACGATAAATATTGAGTGATAGCCAGTTAGATATTAGCATTTGAGAATTCGACATCTGTGTAATATTCATTCTTTTCAATGCACATTGCCAGCCATAACGGTGTTGTAAATTTTTGTAACTTGTACAGCGAAAGGTCGTAAACTTTTCACAAACGCACCTGAATATGTTATGCAATTAATTGATATAACGATCCGTTAAAACACACAAGGAAACAGAAAACTTGTTGAAATATCTAGATGGCAGGAACAGATAGCCCAGATATTCAAGCAAGCCGCCAGGGTACATAATCTGAATATTTTTTAAAATAAATAAGATGTTATTAAGGGACTAAATAATTATGATGACGAAATCCTCTAAGACATCAACAGACGAGAATTACTCATGCATAAAAATCTCCCCCAAAATGAGTGTTCTGCATAATCTCTTTGCATATGGAGAAAAATACACACGAAGATAGGTCCAAGACATCTTTAGAAACACGTTGTAAGAGATGAAATGAATTAAGTCATAAGAGGATCACCTTTTTTAACTGTTAGCTAAATCCTTAACGCCCTAAGTATCTGGTACCATCATATAGTCTAGTATGCCTGATGAAGATGTATTGAGGGGAGAAGGTTTTATTGTTGAATATAATTTATTCGCACTCTAATTAAACATTAGAGATCTGAATTACTTGAGTAGAAATTCAGTATTACTTAAATCTACTAATTTTAAAAGAGATGAATGCTAATAGAATATATTTAATGACGATCGTTTGAGCTATGAACCCAACTGCAGTCCATGATTGTTGTTTACTCTGGTTTTTAGTAAATATTAGTTTTCACTTGTGAAACAATCGTTTCATCATGTACTTTCATAGTTTTATTTTTAAATGACATTGTTCGCATATGTTAAATAGTGAGATAATTACTCTCTACTTTACAGTAGCTATGAATTTAAATAAGCGCGAATCGATATCAATCTACAGTATTTTTACCATGTCTTTATGATACCACTGACTAAAAGTTCTCTTGTTATTTGATTTCGATTCAGCTTTTATCATTTAAATTTGTGTTTAAAATAAATGTAGAGGTTGATTTTGAGCCAATAATATACAAATTGTATTCTATCCCATCCTATTAAGTTTAGACCATCTATTATAATCATCAATATTTATTGTATAACGTATACAGTTAATAATTTAGCACTCATATTTATATTTTACTGTTATTACTAAGTATTACCTTGAATTTATATATTTCTTTTGACAGATAATTTTCATTTAAACATTAAAATTAACGGATCACTTTTCAACGAATTTATTATCAAGCTGTACAATCGTATATATATGAAAATTTTGTTTTTGTAAAAGTACTAATTCCGTGAGGAAATGTGAACACAGTTAACCATGACGTAACAAAAAAGGTTATAACACTAGATTACGTAATACGAATGGTAACAATAGATTTAGTGAATATAATAAGATGATTAAAATGTTTTTGTTATAATAATTAAAAGTCATAGAGATGTAAGAAATAAATAAGGTGATGTGATGAGTATTTATGAATAAAATAATCAGAATATAAGACATAAGTGAAGGGGGAATGCAATAATAATAATAATAATTTACTTACTTACTTACGCCTGTTACTCCTAATGGAGCATAGGCCACCGATCAGCATTCTCCAACCCACTCTGTCCTCGGCCTTCTTTTCTAGTTCCATCCAATTCTTGTTCATTTTTCTCATGTCTATTCCCATTTCTCGGCGTAATGTGTTCTTTGGTCTTCCTCTCCTCCTTTGGCCTTCAGGATTCCATGTGAGGGCTTGTCTTGTGACGCAGTTGGGTGCTTTCCTCAATGTGTGTCCTATCCACTTCCAGCGCTTCTTCCTGATTTCTTCCTCCGCTGGGATCTGGTTTGTTCTCTCCCACAGTACGTTGTTGCTAATAGTGTCCGGCCAACGGATCTGAAGTATTTTGCGTAGACAATTGTTAATAAACACCTGTATTTTCTGGATGATGGCTTTCGTAGTTCTCCAGGTTTCTGCCCCATACAGTAGAACTGTCTTGACATTTGTATTGAAAATCCTGACCTTGGTGTTGGTTGACAGTTGCTTTGAGTTCCAGATGTTCTTCAGTTGTAAATATGCTGCTCTTGCTTTGCCGATCCGCGCCTTCACATCTGCATCAGATCCACCCTGTTCATCAATGATGCTGCCCAAATATGTAAAGGTTTTTACATCTTCCAAATCTTCTCCGTCAATTGTGATTGGATTGGTGCATGCTGTGTTGTATCGGAGAATCCTGCTTTTCCCTTTGTGTATATTGAGACCTACTGCTGCTGAGGCTGCTGCCACACTGTCGTCTTCTCCTGCATTTGTTGTTGCGTTTGGGATAGAAGGGCCAGATCATCTGCGAAGTCTAGATCGTCCAACTGCATTCTAGATGTCCATTGTATCCCGTGCTTCCCTTCAGACGTTGACGTCTTCATGATCCAGTCGATCACCAGGAGAAAGAGAAAGGGTGAGAGTAAGCAACCTTGCCTGACACCGGTCTTCACTTCGAACGACTTTGTCAACTGTCCTCCATGCACGATTTTGCAGTGTAATCCATCATATGAACTCTGTATGATATTGACTATCTTCTGAGGCACGCCGTAGTGTCGAAGAAGTTTCCATAGTGTTGTTCTGTCCACGCTATCAAATGCCTTTTCGTAGTCAATGAAGTTGATGTAGAGTGATGAATTCCATTCAATTGATTGTTCCACAATGATCCGTAGAGTTGCGATTTGGTCTGTACACGATCTATCCTTACGGAATCCTGCCTGTTGGTCACGAAGTTGGGCGTCTACGCAGTCCTTCATCCTGTTTAACAATACCCTGTTGAAGACTTTTCCCGGTATTGAGAGAAGAGTGATGCCCCTGTAGTTATCACAGTTGCTGAGATCGCCTTTCTTCGGTATTTTGATCAGAAGTCCTTCTTTCCAGTCTGTTGGTACTTGTTCCTCATCCCAAATCTTATTGAAGAGAATGTGGAGTATCCTTGCAGTTGCCGCTACGTCTGCTTTTAGTGCCTCTGCTGGATGTTGTCCGGTCCTGCTGCTTTGCCACTCTTGATTTGTCTGATGGCCATGCTGATTTCTTCAATTGTTGGTGGGCCAACATTGATTGGGAGGTCCGTGGGTGCTGCTTCGATGTTGGGTGGGTTCAGTGGAGCTGGTCGATTCAAGAGTTCTTTGAAGTGTTCTACCCACCTGTTTTGTTGCTCTTCAATGTTGGTGATTACCTCGCCTTCCTTGCTTTTCACTGGTCGTTCTGGTTTGCGGCGATTTCCAGAGAGTTTCTTTGTCGTGTCATACAGTTGTCTCATGTTTCCTTCTCTTGCAGCCTTTTCCGCCGTCGTTGCTAAATCTTCCACATATTTACGTTTGTCGGTTCTGATGCTCCTCTTCACTTGTTTGTTTACTTCTGTGTATTCAGCTTGTGCCTTGGCTTTTTCTGCTCTTGTTCGACTGGTATTGATTGCTGCCTTCTTGTTCCTTCTTTCTTGAATCTTATCCAGTGTATCAACAGTGATCCATTCCTTGTGATGGTGCTTCTTGTGACCCAGGACCTCATGACATGTTGAAGTGATTGCCTCTTTGATCCCCTTCCAGTTGCTCTCCACAGTAGTTCCTTCTCCATTGAGTAGATCATGAAAGGCCTGGAACTTGTTGCTGAGGACTATCTTGAATTTGTTGAGTTTGTTAGTATCCTGAAGAAAGGCCGTATTGAACTTTTGTGATATTGTCCGCCCCGTTGTCCAGTGCTTCTTGAGTTTCAATTTCATCTTGGCGACCAGCAAGTGATGATCTGATGCTATATCAGCTCCTCTCTTGGTTCTCACGTCCTCTATAGTCCTCCTGAACGTTTTGTTGATGCAAATATGGTCGATTTGGTTTTGTGTAGAGTGATCCGGTGAAGTCCATGTGGTTTTGTGTATGCGTTTATGTGGGAATATGGTGCCGCCTATGACCAGCTTATTGAAGGCACATAGATTTGCAAATCTCTCACCATTTTCGTTTCTTTCTCCCAGTCCGTGTCGTCCCATGATGTCTTCATATCCAGTGTTGTCCGTTCCAACCTTGGCGTTGAAATCTCCCATCAGAATGGTCAGGTCCTTTGTTGGGCACTTCTCGACGATTGACTGCAGCCTATTGTAGAATTGATCTTTAGCGTCTTCATTGTAGTCGTTGGTAGGCGCATAGCATTGGATGATGTTCATTGAAATACCCTCTTTCTTTGTTTTGAACGAGGCTTTGATGATCCTTGGTCCATGAGATTCCCATCCTATAAGCGCATTTTGCGCTTGTTTGGACAGCATCAATGCAACTCCTTGTGTATGTGGTGCATTTTCTTCTTCATGGCCGGAGTATAACAGGAGCTCTCCTGTAGTTAGTCGTTGTTGTCCAACTTGTGTCCAATGTGTTTCACTGATCCCAAGTACCTCTAGGTTGTATCTTCTCATTTCTGCAGCAATTTGGAAGGCTCCCCGGTGTCCCACATTGTACGAACATTCCATGTACCTAAATAAATGGTCGCTCTGGTTGTCAGAAGGGGCATCGGCCTCGTAACTTCCGAAGGAATTCGGCTTTCATCATGAGGCGTCATAATTCTTCTAAATGAAGACCTTCTGACTCCCAGGGCAGAGTTTAAAAGGTTTGAATAATTTTTTCTGGTTAGCGTTTTTTTAGCGAGTTAGTTTTCTACGGGATGGGGACGCTAACCCCATGCCCAACCCTCCTCCTTTATCCGGGCTTGGGACCGGCAGTAGCCCCCGGAGGGACTCCAGTCGGAGTTTCTCTGACAAAGAAGAATATAAATTCAAATATCTACTGTTCACTTTGTGAGAACTCTCATTTAAATTCGAACAAATGGTTCTACAGTAGCACGGCGACAATTTAATATAAAAGATTAAGGAGGAAAATTATACTTGTAAAAGTCTCAGCAAAATAGAATCAAGTTTAAACAGGATTCCCAAGCGAAACACTGGATTTACTTAGACTTCAATAGCAAAGATTTTTACAATATAATTTTTTCTCCATAATTTCTTTCACTTTATCTAAATATATATGCTATAATACATGCAGTTAACTTATCGACTGCTTCATACTAGATCAAATTTTTTTTAATATAATACTTCTAGCAGTTATAGTACATTACCAAGAATCATTTACCATAGATCAGTCGATAAGTAGCCACACTCACCGAGCTGGGATATGTTCCCGTATCCGAGTTGAAAGCGAGCGCTGGCTACGGCCAATGTACCTTGCTCCACAAGAGCAGGTGAACTGGTAGATGCATATGGAGGCGACCAGACGCGGAAGCTTATCTTTTATGGATACAGAAAATAATTTCCTACCAGTGAGGGTTATTCGCAGTTTAGCCGCGTTAACGGAACCCAGCTATAGAAGTTGGTTAGCTGGCCATTCCATGTTTGTTTCTAAAGATGGATCTTTTTAAAGGACCATTACTCTTTCTCATCATATATTTCTTTCTTTCGTCACTAACTTACATCCACATTTCTTTCCGCTTTTCCTTCCCACTAAGATTGTTTCTGTTTACAAATTCTAACTAAATGAATAGTGGATTGGTGTTTGTATAAATTAAAATTAAACCTTGTATTTTTTGTTTATTCAAATAATCTTTTACATTTTCTTTTCGGTCTTTTAAACAAATTAATTATAGAATAATGAAGTCAATAGAAGATAAATAAAATAATATAACCATTTACACAAGAGGAGGAGAATGGTTCACTTTAATCCATCAATGTATAATATACTTTGGAACTTTTGTGCAATTATATATATATATATATATATACTACTGATATTTTATAAATATATGCCTTAGAAGAGTGAAATGCATTGATATTCTTCAATAATTTATGGCTTGTATAGGTAAAACGGCTGGCTAAATATAGCTTTGTCCATAAATATGCTCATCTACATATATATATATATATATATATATATATATATATATATATATAAATGTATACAATTTTATCAGAATTTATGTATTTTTATAGAAAAAAAGAATGATATACAGGGCTACTGATTAAAGTCTATTGTATAAACGTAGAGATGGAACATACTTAGATTCTGTGGTTTTATTTATTGTTCATTCACACCTTAACTATAAGTACCTCCATTTTATCTTAAGAAAAAATTGGACAGTTTATCAGTAGATTATTCTTCTTCTTTTTTTGTATTGACCTACCAGTTGAACATTTACCTTTTATTACTTTTAATATATTTCTAATTCATTTGTTTATCTAATATGTCTGTATGCGTACACTTTGGAAAATAAATAAAAGTTAGTTTATTCTTCCTTATTTTTTTTTTAAACTTAAATATGATAAGTTTGCTTTCACTTTAGTTTATATTATCAAATTGTTAGTTAACATAAATTCACTTGAATTAATCTAAATTATCCCATAGATGTAAATACTTCTAAGCATATATATATATATATATATATATATATATATATATATATATATATATATATATATATATATATATATATATATATATATATATACTCAATGAACAACATTTATGTACATTTGCTATCAAATAGGGTGAATGGAATGTTGGATTTAAATATTATGCAAAGTGTTGGTCATCAGCTCCTGGTGTAATGACTAGTACACTTACAATATACGATTTAAGTCCAAATGATGTTGGGCGATATCAGTGTAACATGGATAATGGAATCGGATCACCAGCTGTTCGTACGATTGATCTTACTTATCCATGTAAGTTTCTAACTGATATAAAAATGCTAATGAAATTTATTCCATTTAATCTAACTACCTGTTAATAATAATTCATGATCATTAATTTATAAAACTGAGCTCTCATATCAGAGAGTTATAGAAGCTAAAACGTTATTCGCTGATTTTAAGTTACTAAAATCAAACACAATATACACATTTGAGAAACTGGGAAATTATTTTCGCCACAATCATGTTTCCTATATGCTAAATATAGAAAAATCCTATTTCGAAATATTGCATAGGGGTGAACAGTCCAAAGAAAAGAATTAATACCTTTTTTTCCAAAAATCTAATAAAATATACTTGTGCCTAAATAATGTTATCTATTTTATCAATCCGTTCACATTAACAATAATTCGTTGTTTGTTATTGTAGTTGCACCAAGAATAGTACCAGTAACAAGATGGTCAAGAGCTGCACCCAATATAGTTTCAAATAAGAATAAAACTATCAGTGTTACTCAATCAACTTTAATTTCTGATCAACTAATCTCTATTGTAAAAGGAGCTCATGCCAGATTAACATGTGTAATTGCTGCAGAACCTAATCCAGAAGTACATTGGTTAAGAGAACCAGCTAATTTAACATTAATTGAAGGAGGTCAATTTCATTCAGTAGTTAAATCTATTCGTCCAGGATTATATCATGCAATATTATATTTGATACAACCACAAGAAGTTGATTTGGGTCGGTACTTTTGTAAAGTAAGTTTAATTTGTATAATAAAATATATCAACATTATTGTGATTATAATAAAATGAAATCATTTAACTGAGTGTTTTGAAACTATTGTTGCCTGGTTTCATATCCATGGACTATTATATGATTTTATCAATAATATTAGTTTATTTCAACTAAGATATCCCATTTTTTTGTTTGTTCTTTTTTTGCTTCTTCTAAAACGTTTTCTACTTGACTAGAAATCGAAGTTTGTTTTTTTGGGGGGGGGAGTTGTTGAATTAATCCAGACTAACTATTTATATTCTCTTTGAAAATTATAAAAATACCTTTTTAGTTATTATGGTACCATATGGTAAATTACTTATAGTATGTCAAATATGTTGACGGAATTTTAGTACAGAACAGATGTTTTTAGCGCCAAAATAAAGATAATGACTAGCCTTAATTTATAATTTATTACATAAACATAATATTAAATTACTTCTGTGTTCATTATGTATAAAAATTACTACACTTGGGATTAAAGAAAATAAAGGGTCCTACATTTTTATGAACAAGTATTATTATGAGCATAGTTTATCTTATTGAAGAATAGATGAACATATATATATATATATATAGATATAGATATATATATATATATATATATGAAACTTCGGATAGTCATTAAAGTTGTTTTCTAAAATAAAATAATCTTTATTTGAACTGTCTACGCCAGATTATGTAATCACTGTAGTGTTATCTCTTTAAAGCTTATTGTTTTTTCATTAATCAAATAATGAAGTTATACAACTCATATTTGTTTTCATATTTATAGTTATATATCAAAATAAATTTCATAATCAAATTATGTCTATATTTAGTCTATATGTCCCATTGAATAGCCCACTGATTGTACAAATACAACAATTTGATTATATATCATAAACTCCATCATATTTGTTGTATACTGAATAACACATTACATAGATTAACAAAGAGTATAAAAAAAACATTTGAGAAAAACAGCCTTTTAGTAAAATGAAAGTACTGAGAGTAACTACGAAATTTAATCTGCACATACACCAATCGTTTTGACACAGATAGATTTCTAGAATATTTTTTTACTGATAACACAATTTAGTAACCAGTATTTCAAATTATTTACTGTTCATATCATAATAATGAGGTCAAAAGTATTGTAATTTTACATTGAACTTATTTCACACAATATATAAATGTTTGGAGTTACGTTTCTGTGTGACTCTTCTCCTTCTATCGACATCACTATTAGGGATTCCAAGGCTAGAACTAGAGTGCTGTTTAATGCATTACGGCCATTAGGTCTTTTTCAGCTAATGTCAGTTCATGACCAAACCTTTATCAATTAAAACAGTACTTCATAGAAAGATGACGTTTTACAATATTCATAACTTCTTCACCATTTATTTCGTTCACTTGTAAAAGAAGGCAATAATCAGGAGGAATATCAATTAGTTGTAAGACGTTACAAAATATTTACATAATACATATACACAACCTTCAATCGTTCCATCATCTTAACTGCCTTCTCGTTTAGTCTGTCAATTCTGTACTTTTGATGTACTTGAACTCTTCCCTCTGTCTGACAACTGTTGTAACTTCGACTCCACGTTCCGCAACACACTACTTACAAACAGTTGTGTAAATGGCTTACACTACACAATATATAATTGTTTCTCACTACTTTTTTGAATCACTGATAAATTAAAGCGTTTAGTTGTTATTATAACTTACTATATAGTAGTCCATACTATAGTCCATTCCGATACTGATTGGATTTATTGGAATATTTCTCAAAATAAATTTAAAAATCTATTAATGATTCAATCTGATCAGAGCATATATTTCATTACGGGTCATTTCAACATTCACAGACATTAACAAGCTCATTTCATTTACACTTCTGAATTCATCCTTTCTAATTTAAATAAGTACACTTCCTTCGAATTCGTTTCTCTCTTTTGATCATCACTTCGGACTCATTACTGTATAACCTCAAGAGAACATGACAATATTCCTCTTATGTATATCAGTGTATCTCACTATGATGAGACTTCTCAAGCTGTTATTACTCTTCAAACTATATTTTAATCTCGTGTGAAATCGGTTATACCTATTAGTTTACATGTAAAATGGATTTTTACCAAATCCCCTTCTCTTATCATTTGTTGTCTACGTAAGAAAGCAACGACTCAAAGTGTTAAGCATAAATTGGAGATTTTATGTCATTTTATAATGGGCGTTTACTATTTACCACTGAAGATATGTGTACTATTATAAAATATTATTTTTCAATGCTGATAAAAATCCTTCCCATCAGAACACTTGGATGTGACATAAAAGAAAGGCTGGAAATGAGTTTTTTTTTAAATACTTTCCTCATATCGTATGATGTTATACGCTTAAAAATATTTACTACTGATGAATGTGTTCATTGCCTACTGTTTATATTTTTGTCATCACAAAAGTTTTATGCTTTAAGATTATAATATCATTCAATTTGTAATCTCTACCTTAGTACTTTTGGCACTGACAAGAAAATGTATTTTAAATGTGATGCATCCTAGTAAATGTGTACAGATTCCTCTTCTTTGATTTTAAATGTACACTTTATGTGAAAGGTATTGTTACTACCTAGAGATCAAAACTATAAAGGGTTGTACTGGGTTCGAATGTGTTATCTAACACTTAAAAACTGAATTTTAAACATTATCCCATCAATACATAAGTAATAAAACTAATGTTAACTAAATGTTGCAATGATATATAATCAAAGCACCAAGCAAAGTGACAAAACAATATTAGTCGCACACTATTTCAGACATATTTTACGTTATTTTAGTTATGTTATCCTTCAATGGTTAGTTAGAGGTCAGTAAAACACTTGTATACATGGTAATGTCATGCAAATTTTAATTTCAATCAATATTATATATAACCCTGTTTACTTACTCTATGAAACAACATGGGATGCGAAACGTAGCCTTTATTAATTTGTTATTCCTAATTACTACGGTTACTATTCAACTTAATGCTTCAATATATTTAGTTAATACTTGTGAGGGTTCTGTATAATTAAAACAGTTTATACAAAAGTAGACTGTAAGTTGCTTGGCTAAACAGTGTTTACTTTAATTTTTAAGAGCACTTTAGTAGCTGTAAAAGACCTATGGTGAAAAATCTTCATTATAGGTCTGAATATCTATAACTACATTTTTATTAAATTAAATATTTTTAGCAACACTTTGTTATCCTCTCATTTGAATAACTTTAAGGTTATTAATATATGACTAAGTCTTCAAAACTTTATGTACTTCAGACAGGTTTTAATTCATTTAAATACAGATTAAAATTGTTCATTATTTTTTACGCTAAGCTTTTCAGTCTACGTCTTTAAGTATACATATGGCAGATTTTTGAGTAAAAATCATGTATAACTTATCCACTTTCCGGAATATTGTACTTACCTTCTATATGCGAGTTTATGGACAAATTACATACCTATGATTTCATTAATATTTCATTTAGGATTATCATATTCAGCAGTAAATGAACACAACAAACTTCTCGAAACAGAAATTTATCTTGTTACTACCAATAGAGTTCATCGATCTTCACTTAAGAAACGATCTCACCCCAAATTTTCTTTAATATCATATTCAATAAAACTGGGGCATCTAAATATTTTACAATTCGATATAAAGATTTACAATTAGTAAAGAAATACAATATCAGAAGGGGTTTTGTGGAGATTGTAATAATTTAAACAGTTGATATCATGAGTCAATTGAAGCTAGACCACCATGGAAAACCTGCAAGCACTGGACGGCCGTTTCGTCCTATTGTGGGACTCCTCAACAAGGCGCATCCACGCCCCGCTCGCGGGACTTGAATCCGAGACCTATCAGTCTCGTGCACGAGCGCTTGACCACTAGACAACTGAGCCGTCATCCAATTGTGTTAATATCTAACTCCAACCAATCCACGAAATTGAGCGACACATCCATCATTGTCATCAGTGAGTAACTACCCCACAACTGACCTGGTTGAACTCCACTGATCACTACTTCTCACTAGAACTCCAGGATAAACCTCTTGAAGTCGGTCACCAGTGAGAATGTGTTGATTAGTATCGGAAGGGGTTTTGTGGAGATTGTAATAATTTAAACAGTACGATACATCTAGAAACAGAATATTGTGAAACTTTCACAGATACGTACATATATATGTATCTTAGGTCACATAATCATTTTCTATTGTTGATCATTTTATACTTCACACAATTTACTTTCAGTAACTATAGTGAATATTGACTAAGCAAGATGAGTGTGTAAAGTGAAGTGAACATTCCACTATTGATTTTGTCCAATTCACATTAAATCTTTTTTTGACTTCATACATATAGTTATGACTAAAAATACAATGAATTTTTTGATTAAAATTTTAATAAAAAAACGACATATTTTTTACTGAATAATTAATTTTTAAAGTTAATTTATTAAAATTATTTCAAACTGCTGGTTTGATCCAATTTTTCAATAATGAAGATCGATTTATTTAATAATAACAGTAATCTGATTTTCCAGTTCACAAAAATAATCGGATTTATAATTGATTGATCATTGGGTGGTGATCAATGTCATATATATCAGGTCCTTGGTCGATAAGATTCAATCTGCATTAAGAAGCTCAGTCGCGGCCTAGATAGCTCAGTGGTAACATCTCTGACTGTGAAGCTGGGTGACACGGGATCGAATCCATCAGCGAGCATCAATTCCCTCAAGATAACAGGTATAACTTGCTGACGTGTGTCAAGTAGCACGAAACCTAGGCTCGGGGTTTCCTAATAACTCCCTCCAATCACCATGCTAATAAACTTTTATTTTTTTTTTATTATTTAGCATTAATATCACCCAATAAAAAACTAATCTATTTTATTTTAACTAAAACTGAAAAAAAACATTTATTGAAATAGGTAAAAAATTTAGTTGGCGAAGATATTGGTCGTGTGGATTTAATACGTCCGACTCAACCTGATCTCCCAAGTTCACCGCGTCTATTGAATGCAACTAGTACAAGTTTAACAGTTTCTTGGACACAAGGATTTAATGGTGGTCCAGAACAAAATTTCTTGGTAAGTAGACCAGAATTCTTCTCAAGTTTTATTAAATAACAGATTTAGTTGAGGTGTTATTCATTGGTTGGTAAAATGCTTTTAAAATAGTTTTTGGAGGATAGTTTTGTTGTTAATTGACACTAGATGCAATAATAGTATGTAGCTAGAAAATACTTGTTAGCTGGTTCACCGTCAACAATCCTAATTTTGACACAATTTTTTCAAAACATACCTTTTACAGTGTTAACAGGTAAGCAAGCTGAATTTTTGTCTTGTCATTTGAAGAATCAGTTGCGGAATTCATGATGTTATTTTACTTGCGTCGTTTTTATTTTCCGTTCTATGTTCACTAAGTTTCAGTCGTACCATTTACGGTTTGTTCTTACCTTTTCATGCTTTGTCAAAGAATTTTATTAGCAATCATATGTTAACTATATATTATACAACGTTTGCAACGTAAATTGCAATACATAACTCTTTTCATTATCACATAATTTAATATTTTAGGGGACATTCACCTGAGAAGAGAATATTAGTTAGGCTTAGTCATAAAATTAGGTTGAAATAACAATTGTGGATGTTTAGATTCTAATCAATTGAACCCATTCTGTCATGTTTGTTTGTACAAATAAGAGATTTTATTTCCTGAATAAAGAAAATCTATCGTATATTCTAAGACTAAACAAGTTCTGAAAACAGGACTATCATGTTTTTAAAAGTCTCGTATTGTAAGCATGTTAGCGAGCTGATTTTGAACTGACAAACGTATTATAAATATTTATAAAGATTAGATTTATGCAATTATTACTCTTTGTGTAACTGTCTAGGTTACTCACTGATGATAACCCAAAGACATCATCCGATTAAATTAAAACTTACTTCTTGCTACTACTCATTGACACGAAAATATCCCTCAAAATTACTGGTTGTTACGTTTTTCTAAATATTCTTTATACAAACTAAGTCACCTACTCATTATAATTTGTGATAAGACCCTTTCTAAATTCACACCATTGCAATTGAAGTCTAGTGTGGTTAATATACATTCAACATACTAAGGAAAACTGTGAATACATTCTTAAATTATTACAAAAAAGCTAACAAATGCTTCATAGTTTTTTATTGATTGTCAATCCGTAATGTACATTAACTAACAAATTGAACAATAACCACAAAACAGTATTTCTTTTGTCTATCCAATATTGATTATGAACATTATGTAATGAAAAAAAGGTAATTAGTATTTAAAATAAAATAATCATTTTGGTATTTGTAAAACAAGACTACAATGAATACTACAATTTGTAATGACTAATAATGTAAACATGTAGATTAATTGAAACAATTGATCATGTGTTTCTTTCCTCTTTTTTTCTTTCTTTATTTCTTCTTTCTTTCTTCTTACTTTATTATAAATAAATAAGATATTTGTGATATCCCAATGAGTAAAAAATTAGATTTTCCGACGTTTCGTGACTTCATGTAAGTCACTTCTTCAGAGAATAAATAACCAAATTAGAATTAATCCAAGTTTAAAGTTCTTACTTTATCGTTTAAATAGTTTCCAGTTACTTTTAAATTTATTTAAATACTACTTTCTATATATTTAATTTCATAGTTTTATCAGATGTTAATAAATTTCCTGAATGAATATATTTTACTTTTAAGTAAAAATTAAAATTAACCCCATTTTAATGTAATATCATTACATTAGCAACAATGTTAATTACATTGTAAAGTTTCATTATAATTCAATTAAATTATGGCTTTATTATTGTAATTTATATAAGCTCAAAGATTAAAAATAGAAATGGGGAAAGATTAAAATGAAATAGTTTAACAAGAAAATAACATTTTAATGAGGAAATGTTACTAGATTGTTCTTCTTGTATGATCAAACTTTCTTAACAATGGTTATAATAAACAAATATGATATACGTAGTGAAGAGTATGCATACTAAGGTTTACTCTGAAATTTCATTAAAAAACGTGCTGATTTCTAGATTTTGTTTGTAAATTTATTTTAACCTACTCAGTGACAATAAAATGGCAGGAAATAAGACATTAAATAATTAAGGTAATATCGAGTCAATAAGCACAGTATGCATATATGCCAATAAGAGACTGATCAATTACAGTCCCAAACATCAATGAGAAGATTCAAGTAAACAATATGAAGGGAATTCAGGTTAAACATAGTTAAAAAAGTAACATTAACATGATAAGAATTTTAGTTTATTATATCAACACATGTTTCGAATCTCGGCAAGACTCTAATTTAGGGACGACCTTTGAACGAATCTTAAATGACCTTGACAATTATTAGCCAATCACAAGACAATTAGTATAAAGTGAAAATATGTTATAAGAAAGTAATGAATTACAGTGAATATTCAGATTTGTGTAGTAAGGACAGAAGGCCTACGGCCTATGTTATTCCTTTTCTAGTATGCTTCTGTGAGTGTCCAGTCTTCTCTTGAAAGAGTCAATTGAAGGTGCGGACACCACTGCTTCAGGCAGCAGGTTCCAAGTATTGATGACTCGGTGTGAAAACCTGTATGCCACGGGTATTTTGTTCGTTCTTGGCTTTTCTACTCGCCTGCTATGTCCTCTGAGGTGTCCCGATCTAGTGGGAAGAAAGAGAGAGAATAAGTTAGGTCCGAAATCATTTCTCAGTATTCTGTACATCAATATTAGATCTCCCCTTAGTCTGCGATAGGACAGAGTAAAGAGGTTCAGTTTTTCAAGCCGCTCTTTATATGATAAACCCCGGAGTTCCGGAATTGCACGCGTAGCTGCCCTCTGTACCTTTTCTATTATGTCCGAGTCACCTTTTAAACAGGGGCTTGCAGCCTGAACACAGTTCTCTAACTTAGTTCTCACTAAGGATGTGTATAATGTGGTGAACATGGTAGTATCAAGCTTAGTGAATGTCCTTTTTAAAGCCCAGAGGGTTCGAAACCCCTTAACTGCGACCTCCCGGCAATGGGCCGTCGTCTTAAGATCATTGCTCACTGTCACCCCTAGGTCCTATGAGACCGGACTACGGGTAATGACACATCCCCTATGTTGTACGTATTAACCTTTGAATCCCCCAAGTGCATGTAGACACACTTTTCCGAGTTGATAGGCATTAGCCACTCTTTAGACCAGTTTATCATATTATTTAAGTCCGCCTGAAGAGTAAATGCGTCTTTGTCTCCAGTTATTACTCGCCAAATTTTTACATCGTCAGCGTATAATAACATTGGAGACTGTACTATACTTGTAAGATCATTAACGTACATTATAAAAAGTAAAGGACCTAAGACGGAACCTTGGGGTACTCCACTAAGTACTGGTCTCCAGATGGAGCACTTGGAATTTATTCTTACTTTTTGCCTACGACCTACTAGGAAATCCTTAATCCATTTTAAAAGAGGTCCGGCAATACCAAGGTTTGCCAACTTCAATAGCAGCCTATTAGTTGGCACCTTGTCAAAAGCCTTACTGAAGTCTATGTAGACAACATCCACTGAGTTTCCGTTGTCTAGCGCATTAATCCAGAGCTCCCTAGCTATAAGGAGGTTCGTTGTACAGGATAGACCCTTTCTAAAACCATGTTGTGCCATGTTCAGCAAGTTATTGGTTTCCATAAATGCTGTTATGGTCCGTTTGATTATTCTTTCCAGTATTTTAATTACAACACTGGTGAGGCTTACGGGTCTGTAATTTGATGGAACTTGTCGTAGACCTGTTTTATGTATGGGAGTGACGATTGCGTCCTTCCAGTCCATAGGTAACACACCTTGGTCAAGTGACATTTTGAATATCACAGTCAGTGGGGCTGCGATATATTGGGCAATATGTCTCAAGATTTTAGGGTGTAGTTCATCTGGTCCTGTTGACTTCTCCATGTTTAGGGTGCTAAGAGCCTTAAGCACATCGTTTTGGTCGAAGTCCACGGTGAGCAGCTGGTTTGTTGACTCTGTAATTGGGTCTGGTTCTTTCTCTAGAGGAGGTTCCTGAGTGAAAACTGCCCCAAAGTAGTCAGCCATAACCTCAGCTTTTTCCTGATCTTCCTCTATCATTTCAGATTCACTTCCTACTTTAATTAGGTTGGGAATCCAATGATGAATCCTTGTTTTGTAGTTTATGTACGAGAATATTCTCTTGGGCTGCTAGAGATTCTAATTTAGGGACGAGCCAATCAGAAGCGTTTGAGCGATTTCAAGTTCACGGAGCCAAGTTCAACACGTGATGCTAACATACGACCGGTTTACAACGGATTTTAGAGAAGAGGTGTTTATTGAGAGGCTACAACCCTAACCCTTACCCTAACCCTAACCTAACCCTAAACCCTAATCCTAACCCCTAGCCCTAAACCTTAACCCTAACCCTAACCCTATGGACGAGTTTCTATACCATATGCATTAGGAATTCAGAACCTCTGAACCTTTATCAAACCTTAACAAGTTTTTAAATCAAGTAAAAGAAGAATATCCACTGTAATTCATCACTTTCTTAAAATATATTTTCACTTTATACTAATTGTCTTCTGATTGGCTAATAATTGTCAAGGTCATTTAAGATTCGTTCAAAGGTCGTCCCTAAATTAGAGTCTCGCCCGAATCTCTATACATTTTTGTTGTGGATGCGGAGGAATAGACCAATAATTATCATGTTAAGTCCAATGGTGTCCTTGGACTTTAAATGGACATTTCCTATTGGTCGGTATCTGTTCACTTGTTGAATATTGTACAAAATGTTGTCTTCTATTTTATGGTACGGTGTGGTATGCTTGATTGGTATATAAACAAAGTATGTTTGAAATATAATGATTCATATCTCGGAGGTTGTGACTTGTGTTCTGGACTCAACTGACTGGGCTAGACAGGGAAGCGAGACCAATCGAGACTCTAGGCCGTCCGTACGTGTTTACGTGTCATTGGATCGATCGATAAATACGCTGCTCTTTAATTTTTCCAGTCAAGGACACAACAATTAGCACAGGGTAAAAATCGACCCAACTTAAATTCATAACAATTTTACACTCTTGAGTATTGAATATACTTTTTTTAAGTTTTAGTGTAGAATTTTGACACTCAACTTCTATGATCTAATGTCAATTCTGTTCATTGAGGTGAACAAGATTTAGTTGATAATATTTAAATTACAATCCTTTAAATTTTTGTCTTCGAGATCAACATTTTTCTAAAGAACTAAATATTGAACTATTTATTAACATAACTAATATCCAAAAGACTTTCATTTATAGTAAAGGGAAAGTATTTACATAAAACTAACAACAATTAGGGGATCATAATGCAAATTGCTTCAATAAATAAGCTCAATACTTCCCAGTTACCTTAAAGATTGCATTTCTAATGAATACATAATGTTTCTTGATAGTACTTGAGTCTGTATTTAAGCAATAATCGCATTCAAAATTTTCAACTCTTCTCAACCCACGGCTACCTACCTTTTTGTTTACAAATTTAAAATCGTCGTTTGATTTATTGGTTACACTTTGATTTATTTTACAATTAATCCGTTTACACTTCTCCAAACATTACCGCTAATTTATCTATAAAAAAACAGTTCCAGACCAACCCAGTAATAATGATTGTAGTACCATTTAGCTTTAACATAAATTTTGTGAACTCTTGATAAAAAAGAAAATGGTTCATTTTTTCATTAGTTAATTAAAATGTAAATTGTACTATTGACTGTTAACTATTTTTTTCAAAGTCACCATTCCTTTAAAACATCTTTACAACTTGTCATTTGTCATCAGGATCAACTACCTTTTTCTAATGATGAAAGTATTAATTTTGAATGGAAGATACTTTGTTTACGTCAATAATATGTCTGCTTCACTATCCTTTTAAACGAATTTTGTAATAAAAATATCCCATTTAACAGTAGTGAGATAGTTATTATCGATGCCATTATATTCTATTTGTACTTTTTATAAACTGATTAGTATTGTTAGTAATAACCATTGAACTCATACTTAGTAATTCAATCTTGCCATTATGATAATTGTAGGACATGCTTCCGACTAGAGCGCAATTTCATGTACGTATACCTGAAAAGCTATAAACTAGAGTTTATTGTTTGTGCAATTTAAGCTAGTTTTCAATGGCTCTTTAATGTGTTTCAGTGAGTGAATAAATCTCCAACAACCGTCTTTCTAAACAGTAAAATATATCACGTATTTTACCAATCGATTTGTCAGTTACTGATAGAAAAATGATTTATTATTCATGTATTCACAAAAACATATACAAGTATATAGTTATTGTTATCAATTTTTTGTTTTTTTTCTCATTCAGTTACATTGGCATCCAAATGAAGACCCAGATCACCATGATAAAGTCAATATTAAAGAAGATCTAGACAATGAAGTATTAATCTACACTATCACTGGTAAATTTGGCGTAAAATTTTTATAGCTTTATTTTCCTGAAATTATTAGCCAAAAATGGTGACAGACAAAACTTTTTTTTTCTTTCTGTGCTGACTGTTTGGTTAAAAAGAACTCCAAAGAAATCTGCTATGTAAATATTAAGCTTATTGAATATCATTCGAAATAAAGACACTCCAACAATTTAACGTAACTGTGAATCCACTTCGTAGTTGGACATATGTGATGCATAGAGCTGAATGTCAGTTACCAAAATAAAAATAGAAGCGTTAATCAGTAAATACAGAACACATTTTAGCATCTTAATCAAACAATATATGGTACTTATCGCAAAACAATGAAGATAAAAGATTAAATTTAGAATTAGCTTTTCTGAATGGATTTCATTTAGTTCTAATAGATTAATTTTGTTAAAGAAGTTAGACATTAACACCGTTGGATGCCGGCTCAGTGGTCTAATGGTTAAATGCTTGCGCGCGAAACCAGTAGGTCCTGGGTTCCAATCCCGCGGGGTGAGGGATCGTGGATGCGCACTGCTGAGGAGTCTCATACCGGGACGAAACGGCCGTCCAGTGCTTCCAGGTTTTCCATGGTGGTCTAGCTTCGGTTGACTCATGGTTTCAACCAGTGAAGGAAGTAACTGAAAAAACAACCAACAACTAAATCCTAGCAAATAAATTGTGCAATAAAAAGATTTCAGAAAGATTATCATGAATAACTCAACTATGCATTTAATAGTGAATAGAAGAAAAATTAAATTGGTTTAAACATGAAAAAATTCAGGATAAGTTAGATTTTTATTCAACTTCACTTATCATAGTCGTATACAAAATCTAATCAATAAAACTAAAACTATGATTTGAGTTTTAACACCTGATCATTATGACAGAATAGGTTCTGTAAATCTTACAAAGTGTTATAACATTCTTTGAGCGACCATTAATCCACCAAAATATTCTTCTTATGCATAAAGTTATTTAGAGTATTTATGGATTTAGCAATAAAGTGAACTCAACATACAATGAAATGTTAGTTGGTGATTTACTATATATATAATAGTTTCGTATAACCTATCTTACGATAGATGTTAATCACTCATATAAACCATTAAAGGATATGGTGTGACTAAACTAAATTGTTGGATGATGGTTACGCGTGATGAACATGAAATGCTAAATCTAAGTTTCGTGTTGTTCAGCACTTGTTGACAAGGTGTACATGTAGTCTTGAGATAACTAATGCTTCCTGATGGATTTGATCGACGCCAAAACCAACTTATTATCTTTGTCACATGGTATGTTATAGAAATTTTGATTTTTGAACTTATACTCAATAAATTTCACAACATTAAGTTATCAGTAAACTTTACCGAACGTTATTCTTTGCATATTTTAAAATTTGACTGATAGTGTTTTTTTCTTATCTTTTGTTGCAAGCTGTATAGTAGTAAGCATAATAATTTAGTGTTTGTTTAAACATTATAAAAGTACGTTTTCCAACAAGATTTAATTAATTTCTTGCGATGTGAGAGTTTTCGTTTTTTATTATTAAGGATCACAAATAAAACTACCTTTAATGAATATGCTTTAGTATTATAATATCGAAATGTATGACTAAAAGAAAGAACCCAGTGCTTAGTGATGTTAAAAAGATTAGTCAGTGTTCATTCATCGGAACATTTAGTCGCATTTATATTCAGTTTAATTTACAGTTTACAAAACAGTGAGATTTATCAGTTAGTTTTATATTAGCAAATAACATAGATTGTGTCTTTGAGAAATAAAACAAAAGATCATCATATTACGTTTACTCACCTATTGTTTGAATCAGTCAGTTAGTTACAACGTAGTACCAGGCATATATATGCATATTGTTCGAATGATTAAATCAAATTAATAAAATGATTGTTGCGAAAGTGTTATATTTTTATTTTAAAAAATCAATATAACTTACCAAATGTTGGGTGTTATTTTTAGTATAGTAATAATGCCAGTTGTCATTCATATATAGAGAAAGAGATTTTTTAGACTATATATTTTATAATTACTTATAATTGAATTGCTTTTTGTCACTTGTCAATGTTTCTATAAAATATTATATGATTTCTAGACAAGTACTTTCTATAAAAGATAACTAACACTTAGTTAGAAACTAAAGTAATTTTAGTGTACAATACTATTGTTATTTATTTTGCTAATCAATATGTTCTATTTATTTTGTTACTATACATTTAATAGGTCTTCAAAAAGCTACAACATATCGTGTGTCAGTTAGTGCTTATAATACATTAACTACTACAACATCGTTTACACCCTATCTTTTGGCTTCTACAACTGGTATGTTATTCTGTATATTGTCTTTATGAAAAAGAGTAGTTAACTAACAAGATAACTTTATTTTATAATATATCATGGTTGCTACCAATGTTTATGGCTTTTAATGACATAAGAGAATATAGTATTCAGTTGATGTACAGATACTACTTTTGATCATATAGTTGTTTTGTGCGTTACAATTAAAACAGATTATATCAATTCAATTATGTTTCAGAAGTCTTGGCTTAGTTTTCCTTTTTTTATTACACTGTTCTAAAACATTGATTACAATACATTGAAATATAAGTTATTTAATGTAGAAATACTGAAATTATGAATTTAGAAGACAAAACTCTACAGACTAACAGGATTTTACTTAATTCATATGCTGAGTCAATTCTCTCTTTTCTTGGTTATAAAATGTTGAAGAATTCATTCATAAATTAAAATTTCAGATGTATTAATATATAGATGTATGCATTGTTAGATAAATATTCTTACATTCTACGCAGCATTTTAAAAAGATATATAGTTTCACTTAAGTATATGATCACATTTCAGTAAAATCAAGTTCATCGATTGGTTGAAGTTAGACATTACCACCGTTCAATGCGGTCTAGAGGTCCTTGGTTCGAATCCCGCGGAGCCGGATCGTGGATGCGCACTGTTAAGGAGTCCCATACTAGGATGAAACGGCCGTCTGGTGCTTCCAGGTTTTTCACGATGGTCTAGATTCAATTAACTAATGAATTCAATTATTAGATTAAGAAAGTGTCCACAAACCATTCAATAATTTCATTCTAAATAGGCGTAAAATAAATATATATCTATGAAGCTCTATTTATTTTTATAGTTGACTAATAAAGAAATAAATTGTAGATTCAAGATTTATCACAGAAAATACAATTACAAATGTCACAATAATTTAATAACGTTATCTCTCATCAAAAAATAAGGTTCACTCACTGTAAATCGTGCATAGTTTCAAAATCGCTAGCCATTTCCAATCTTTACTTCAATATATTGTCGTTTGTAATTATTTTTTTAAAAATCCAATCAATACTGCATTCAGATTGGTATATGCTTTTATCATACGCTAAAAATATCCAAGTCAACTACTGAAATGATTAAAGTATTAATTACTTAATCTCAGTATTAGATGATCAACATATCCTTTCCTAATTAAGAACAACTGATTATCTATAATAACCTAAGAAGTATTCATTTTAGATGTTGCTGCTTCTGATTTATTTTTCATATTTCATTTGAGTTTTAAGCTTTAAAAGAAACTTCTACAGGGAAAGTTTAATTTTTAAAAATCAAGTCTTAGTGATAAATAGTTAATGAGTAGTGTACAATTTAACAATCTGGTATACTATACCACTCTCATCATGTCAAATATAATAGAAACATTTCTTCCTTTTGTACTAGTTGAAACAACAAATTATGCAGCTGACCTTAATTTATCAAAAGCATCAATACATACTCAGATGGAAACGGAAATTTATAGTGAGACAAGCTGACCGTTTTTATAGAACAGATTAGTAAAAACCATTATCAAGGCTGAAATGATAATGATTTGTCAAATGCTAAGTGAAGTAAATGAATGATGGTTACTGTGTGTAGATTCTGTTTTCAATTGAAATTAAACACTCCAATAAGCTTATAAAGGATTGTACGTAGCATTGCTAAGATTGGACTTGATAGTTACATATAAATTGAGCATTGAATAGAAAGTTAACGATAAATATATTTTTATGATATCCCACTGAGTAGAAAACTGTATTTCTGACATTTCGTGTCCTAATGTAAGTCACCTTTTCAGAGTGAATAAATAACAGAAGTAAATTAACACAAGTTTAAATAGTTCAAAGCAAACAGTGCAGAATATTTTTAGGACAACCATAATCACAAAGTGTCTTAACATGTCAAAATCAATTTATTTTGGTCAAAGTGATTCTGTATTAATTGGTGCGTCAGAAGGTGGGTATGAAAAATGTATACATTTGTAATATGAAGTAGTGGGGTTGAAACTGAGTGTGTAGATTGTGTGAAAAATAAATAAGGTCAAATGTGGTTCTTTAGATAAACAGTCCAGGTTGGATTAATAGTCAAGCCTTCTTTCCTTTCTACTACTTAAGACATCACAAAAAATATATTTATTATTTATAAAGGTTCTTCACTGAAAGTTAGCATATATAACAAAAAGTAGAAATGCAGTTAATTATAATCTAATCTGTATACAACAAATAGATGATTTGTAGAAGCTTATTTGAATGAAAAAGCTGAACACTGAAAACCACCAGTATACAGAAAACCTCCACTACAGTATAACCAACTCATGATCAAGTTTCAACATATGTTGATGTAAGAAACGTTGACTTGAAACGTTTATCACCTATCTTTTTTCGTACATTTGCTTATCGATTGTATTGATAACAGTTGTACACTAAAGGTTTGTTCTATAAAATAAGTAGATCAATATGGAAATTCTCTTGGGAACATAACTCAATGTAAAATATACTGTCTCATCCAAACAAAAAATATCCATAAGAATAAATTTATGCAAATAATATTCCTTTGAAGACAAAATAATTCGTAGGGATTTACGCATCAATGGTTGTGTGATAAGCATTACCTATATGTTTAAATAGGAAATCATTTAATTTGTATGAGTGCTGTAAAAATGTCTAGCATGAATGAAAGCGAACTGACGACTTTAGGAGGTCTAATATTCATGTTCATTCAAGAATAAAATATGGAGAGATAAAGGACATCTTGTCAATAAGAATATAATATCAAGATATAATAAGATTCTAAGACATATGATCACATTAACAACAAAGCTTTGTGTATTCTTTTAATGATATAAAAACTGATAAACACTTTTAATTATAAAACTTACTTTAGCATTTGATTCACTGTCAGGAGAGGAAGCAATGAGGGATGAAGCCAAAGCCAAATCATTAAAAGATATTCAAAGAGGACATTGGGATTCAAGATGGCGGTTAAGTTCTAAGAACTCTGGAAACTCCATAAATCCGGATCCTCAAAGACGATCAGTTCGATCTGGTCATGAATTAAATGCTCTCGATGATAATGCTTTTGTGATTATAATTGCAGTCTCTGTATTCGGATCATTTATTTTAATAGCAAATTTATTGGTAATATTAATATTTACACGATACAAGCGCCAAAAAATGAAACAGGATGAACGTAAACCATCTGGTGAGAGATAGATGAAGATTGAATTGTATCTGATTGAATACATTTTTTCTTTAAACCCCCTATATCCTCTTTTTCACTGTTTGATTTGCATAATTTTCTATGACTTACATATCTTAACACGGTTTGACTTAAGTTTTATGTAATTTTCATCTCGTTATTTTTGGTTGCCCTTTTTTTTTTAACTGAACTCACCTATGATAGATAGAAAGTCAGTTGTTTGCTTCGGCAACTAAATTACGAAATAAACTTCACCCATATATATGTACATACATTAGTTAAATAGTAAATATGAGTTACTATCGAATCAGTCAGATTTTCTGTAGCATATTAGAAGTCTAGCAATGTCAATATCTAAGACTAAATTAATCAGTCTCTTTCTCTATTAGAGCTTCGAAAATAAGTTCGTCAATTCTACTAGTATTTATATGCTCAATTTAGTATTAATTTTGGAACTGTAGTAATTATTCTATCAGTAGTTGGAGTAAACATTGTTGTAAATAAGCTTCAGTAAATACATCAACACCCCGATAAAATTATATCCTTTTGAATCTCATAGTATTCCATAGACTGATTGTTTACTAATGATCCACAACACTAGGAAAATATCCTTCAGAAAAATTTTCAAATGGATTCTCTTGAAATAAATCAAACTATATAAATCGCGACCACGTAAACAGCTAGACAGTGGATCAAAAGGGTTCATTAGAGTAAGTGGCTTATTAACTAGTTATTCCTTTATTTGAAAACAATTAGTATAGTCAATTAAACAGCATTTCCAAAGCTTTTTAATGATTACATAAGAATGGGAGCTTGTGAAAATTGTAGTATTTTTAAATCTAAGCAGGACTACCATTGAATACCTGGAAGTATTGGACGATTATTTCGTTCTAGTACGAGACTCCTCAACAGTTCGCAGCCACGATTCCACATGCTGGACTCAAACCCAGTACCATTGGTCTCGCGCCCGAATGCTTATCGTCTAGACCACTAAGCCGACATGAAATTGTGTTAATGTCTAATTTCAATCGGTTCGTGATCTTGCGCAACCAATGTGCTCACTAGTGACTGGTTTCAAGATGGACTTCCTGGAGTATTAATGAGAAGTCGTGACCAGCGGAATTCAATCCGTGTCGGGTAAAGACAGGTATCTACCTCAGACAATGGATGAATGGTTGATCAGGATCATGGATCGATTGAAATTAGACATTAACACAATTTCATGTCGGCTTAGTGGTCTAGACGATAAGCATTCGGGCGCGAGACCAGTGGTACTGGGTTTGAGTCCAGCATGTGGAATCGTGGCTGCGAACTGTTGAGGAGTCTCGTACTAGAACGAAATAATCGTCCAACACTTCCAGGTTTTCAATGATGCTCTAGCTTAGATCGGCTTATGAATTCAACTATTGAGCTTACATAAGAGTCTACTCTCTTAAATGTTGGTAATGTATGATTATAGTCGAAACAGAAAACATTTAAAATCACGATTCTCATTCTTACCCTATTAAGACCGTCAAAAGAAGTCAATTTTAGAAAACTTTTGGTTTATCAAATCAACTGACGTTTAATCAAAATGCCACAGTAACTGTCTTGCAGTTAAAATCAACTTAAATAACACAAAAGATTGAAATTATTGAAGCAAATATTAATTTAGTGCTCTCTGAAAAAATCGGTGATGCTGATAACAATTAAGATTTTTATGTCAGAGACTATATGAAGATATAATGTGCATACTTGTCAAGTTTGAATACTTAATCCAAAAAGCAAGCGTTCGATTTTCCAGGAATTAGTTTCTTTTCATACTACGATCAGGAAAATTGAAAGTACTTAACGATCCAAACAACAGAGATCTACCGTTTGTCAGGCAGCGTAAAAACAACAATGAAATGTGACGATAAATGAGGAAATGTGTTAAAACGAGCACAGAATCCAAATTTAAAAAGGAATCTGATCATTTATCCATTCTTGGATCAAAAAATACTTACAATGATGTCCATCATTTAGAAATTCATGAATTTAAACATCATTAACTTAATTGCAGTTACATTTACTGTAAATATTTAATAAAAGTAGGATCTTTAAAAATGCCATTTCAGTTACATTTACAGTTTTAAATATATTATGTTAGTAAAATTTATGTGCGATTAAAAATAGAAACTATCTACTGAAATAGGATTATGCTTACTTGATGGGGATATTACAGAAGCTAACTTTATCATATCCTCATCATCATGTTGGCTAATCGATCTCATTGATTTATTATGAAAAGTTATGAATAATGATCGCAAGTTCTTCTACTCATCTGAGTTAGAATAGGATTAGGACATACTCCAACGGTAAATTAAATGATTGAATGACTTCACATAAAAAATGAACAAACATGTAAACTGCCATTAACTGTAAGCCAGTATGAAGTATGTATGATGTGTATTTGTTTATTGAAAAATTACTTACTTTATTGGCATATATATTAAATAACTTTTATCCATTTTTTCAGCTGCTGGGGACCTTATGCAAATATACCCAGTAGAAAATGGTTTCTCAGAAATACACACAAATACACAGACCAGTTTTCCAATGTATCCAGACGATATGCGTTTAAATGCCAGTTACATGTTGCAGTCAGTACCACATGACCAGGTAACAAATGAGGTTATAAATGAAATATGCTAATTAGATTAAAACACATTTTGCTACACCTGAACAAACAACACTTTAGTGTTTTATGACGATAATTTACTAGATTATTTACAGAAATGACTTATGAATAGACAATAACTTCTCAGAACTATCAATAATTGGTTAATTTTCATGGTTTGGGAATAAACCGAATGAATATACAAAGAACCAAAATAAAACATGATTATAACACTGACTATATACTTCAATGATAAACTCAAATCTGAGAAAAATACTTACTGTTTTTGCTATCTGAAGCATTTAAAATCTAACCCTATATGACGAGAATTAACTGCCACTTTTATCCACGGTTGTTCTGTTTTTTATTCATCATAACATGTATTAAGATACATTTGACTGAATACTAAAGTAACTAAGTTAACGGTTTTCATTTTCTCTTCAGTAACCATACCGAGCTGTAACATTTTAAATGTATCCAAAGAGATAAACTCATCATTCTTACTTCTGCACGAAGACTTCTGGCTACTATTTTATTTAACTATTATTGTGTTGTGGGCTACTTATGTTGACAGATATGTGTAGTATGCAACAGTAATAGAAGACTGAATTAAAGAGAAGAGATTAGGAAACAGAAAGCATTCGGAATAACAACAAAATCGAAAGTATCAAGTAAAGGACAGCTGAAGGTAGATGTGCAAATAATGTCTATAATGTATGATTTTCATTATTTTGCAGAAGTACTATGTGATTGTACATGAGACGATAAATAGATTTACCGTACCTTGATCATCGTTCACTACATCATCAGCATTATTGATCAAAGTACATTACTCTCAACATTATATTGAACATAACATTATCTACCAGGAAATGTCACCTTATACAAAATACTTTAATAAATTTTAATCGACATCAGAATGTTTACTTCAGTCAAATATCTTATATCAGCCATATTTCGATAAAATGAGGAAAATATAGGGCAGATGCAAAATAATTTATTGATTAAATTATTATTATTTTTGTGCAAAGATTTGATATTTTATCTTTATATTAGAATAACATTACTTTTGTTTGATTTCTCATAATATAAATAAGTTATCCAATATTTTCCTCTTTCGGTAAAACAAACAAAAATATTTTGAACAAGTCAAATATAGTGTAGAAATCACTCAGTTTCTCTGGTTAGCGTCTTTTTAGTGAGTTCATTTTCTACGGAACGGGGTCACTAACCCCATGCCCAACCCTTCTCCTTTATCCAGGCTTGGGACCGTCAGTAGCCACAGAGGTGCTCCAGGCGGAGTTTTTAGTTTTAAACTTTGCTTACCATTATCTGAAATCATCGACTAGATTATCATACAAATCTTGGTGGTGAAAAGAAAATCACCTGTTATTAAATTTATAGACTTAGAGCTTTATCAACGTTTATAGACAGAAATGGTTCCATATTTACAAAGAAAAGATTTTCAAAGCCAAATACTTTAATGGAGACTAAATAACTGATTTATTCTAAAACAGAAATATTTCGATTCGAAGGTAATTGTTAAGAATAAACTTTTCCTTGATATTGTCCTTGGGAATATTTTAAGTCATGTTAAAATCACTGATAACAGTACTTTGTGTAACCAAGTACTCTAACCGGTTATCTGATGAGGTAAAAATAAAAGTAAGTTAGTGTCAACTTTTTCTCCATGGACATTCGTAATTTTTAGTCAATGTTATCATTATCCACCTTTAGTTTTCACCCTTTCAAAATGGATGGGAACAAATACCTTTGAATATATGCCCAGATCAAACTTCATCTATTATAAGAGGAAATCAAATATTTTCAAGCTCACCTCACTCAAGCATCAATGCAATGAATATGCAGAACTTCAACTCTCCAAATCATATAGAATTTAATAATCGACCTTCTAGTGATATATCTATTCAACCATCGTCCGTTTTAATAAATAATGCTGATCAAACTACGGTGGCTTATTTAAACCCAGATAATGGAACGGTAGAAGCGATTCAAAATATTCAAGATTATCATGACTGTTCAGAATTTATGCCCCCAGTATTTCCCAATAGTTGTTCCTCTCACAATTATGATACAGAACAAAATCTGAGGAATATAGAGCGCCCTACACCCACTCACAGACGGCTTGTCACTATCGGTAGAACCTTGACTGAAAAAAGTAACAGAACTAGGTCACCACATTCTGGAGCTGCTTCAAGTGTTTCCACTATCAGGTCGAATGGATATGGAAATACTAATAGTTTAGAAAGGAGTATTTCAACTTTTCAACGATCTCATCACTCGAACTTGCTGGGTGACTACAGACATCTTGGTGGTGGCTTGACGTTACCTAACGGGGGCTTAGGACTAAATATAATGAGTCAGAGTCCCCATCAAAACGGACAGTTGTTTATATCAAACGCGAGGACTTCAGGAAGCTGGATTCAAAATGGAATGACTACAAGCTTTCACGGAGGTAATGCTCCGTCATGGAAGCATTGTGTCAATCCTCATGAAAGCGGTAAATTTAACTTTTAGTATTCCAATGAAATATTAATGTGTTGCATCTCTGTGAAAGTTGTTGGAAGTTTAGATAGCTTGTGTACAATAAAACATGTTTAACAACGTCGTAGTGCAAAACGAGTTATTCAAAAAATAGCCACGAAAAATAATAGATTTAAATTGGAAAAAAAAACCTATTAAACGATCATATCTGAATTTCTGACTTTGAACTTCGTTACATTCCGAGTTCCTGGTACTAACTCACATAATCTTATTGGTATCATAGTTAATAAAAAAGCAAATGGACAATACCGTACTACTGAGAACATTTCAATTCTATCTATAGTTAATATCCTAGCTATACAAATAAGCTCGAAGTTGACATTTAGTCGATGAGTAGTTCAAATTCAGTAGGAAATAAGTTAATAATATTTCCTTATATGGTAGGCGAGAAACTATCAGTATTATTTAACAAGAGGCGATCAAAATCATATATGAAGATACACTAATTTAATTTTACGTACGAAAAAAATGAAATTATCGCATAATTTATTATCAGGCCATATGGTAGGGGAATTAAAATTTCATGATCATCTAGGATTTGTGTATCAGTTCGAATTAGATGCATAACTTTCATTATTTACCATCGAACACTTAAATGTATCAGTGCTTCAATACCATAAGTTGAGATTGTATCTGAATAAAGAACAATTAAGATTTATACGACATGAGGTTATAACTAATTACTCATCGATAGTAACATTCAGATAAACAAAATTAAAATATACATTTTGATGGTTGAGAACATGAGTCAATTGAAGCTAGACCATCATGGAAAACCTGCAAACACTGGACAGCCGTCTCATCCTAGTATGGGACTCCTCAGCAATGAGCATCCACGATCCCGCCACGCAAGATTCGAACCCAGGACCTATCAGTCTCTCGCGCGAACGCTTGATCTCTAGACAAATGAACCGGCATCCAACGGTGTTAGTGCCTAACTTCAACCAATCTGCGAAATGGCGCCACCGTACACCGTTGTCTTCAGTGAGTAACTATCTCACAGCAGACCCGGTTGAACTCTACTGGTCACTACTTATCACTAGAACTCCAGTCACTAGTGAGCATGTGTTGATTAGTATCAGAAGGGATTTTGTGAACAGTATAGTAATTTTAATAGTTGAGATCATGAGTCAATTGAAGCTTTCAAGTTTATATAAACTAGATTAGATTTCGAATATGCTTTGTTAAAAAAATATTCTTATTTTTCACAAAACGTATTAATTTTAGATGAATACACATCATCAGAACAACAAATAGCAAGAAATTCATACAATTCCTTTGGACAACAATCTGTATCACATCTCACGAACAGTTTTGAATTGCCTGATGGTCATGTTTTCAGCAACCGGCAGCATACACAAACGAACAAGGTCAGTACTTTTAACTGAACAAGTCCATCTTTCCCACATACCTATAAGATAATTATGTAAAGAAATATGAATTGAAATACCAATTCACTTTCAAAAAGACATTTTTTGAAAATAAAGATATCCTAGACTCTAAGTTGGCACAATAAAGTTTAGTAACAAGATTTAAGGCTAAAGCAAATGTCATTTTGTAGGTACCTTAAAGAAGAACAAGCGAACTAAGTAAAAATAGTTAATTTTACATGTGTATAACAAAAGTCAAGATATTTCTTAAGAAAACGTAACAAGAAGTTCGATAGTCTTCAAATGAACAATTTGAACGAAGTGTGAAAAACTACAACCTGATGAAACATAAATCCGATAGAAATGGTGCTGAACGTTGAGTAAAAATGAAGATAAGTATAAAAAAGCACTCTGAAATACTCTACGTACGAACTAATCCCCATCTCTTTTTTAATATACCATAAAGTTAATTGACATCCATCGTTAAAGTAGCTGTATGGTTAGCAATACAGAAAACCCCTGTATTCAGGTTAAAAAATGTTCATGAAATCTGCACAGAATCATACAATTCGATCAAGGCTTAATTCAAGCTTTATACCAAATCTGACTTGTCCTTGTTAACCCTCGTGATGCATAAGTCGACAACTAGGATCCTTCAACCAACTCTGTCATGGGCAATCCCATCCAGCTTTTTCCAAGTGCTGTTCATCCAGCCTCCGACCTCCGGCGCAATGTATTCTTTGTCCTTCCTCTTTTCCTTTCCACTTCAGCATTCTAAGTTTGTACTTAACTTGTGATGCAGTTACATGATGTCCACAATGAATGTTATACATATCTCCAATGTCTTTTCCCAGTCTTTTCTTCATCTGGAAGCTGGTTTGTTCTCCCCCACAGAAGGTTGTTGCTGATGGTATCTGGCCAACGGACATTGAGTATCTTACGTAGACAATTGCTTTGCCGATCCTTACCTTTACGTCTGCATCGTATCATCCTAGTTCGCCGATGATGCTGGTTAGGTACTTGAAACTTTCCACCTCTTCCAGAGTTTCTCCAGCAAATTTGATTGGGTGTGTACTACCTGTGTTGTATTACAGGATATCGCTTCTTCCTTTGTTAATGTTAGGGCTTATTGCTGCTGAGGCTACTGCTACCCTGACTGTATTTTTTTGGTGTGTATGAAATAGAAGAGTTAGGTAGTCTTCAAAGTACAAATCGTCTAGCTGCATCTAGGCTCTCCATTGTATTTCGTGCTTCCCCTCAGATGTTGAGGTCTCCATAATCCAGTCAACCACTAGATGAAAGGGGAAGGACGTAAGCAACAGTCATTACTTGGAATGCATCTGTCAGCTGTCCTCCATGCACGACTCTGCGGTGTAGGCTGTCCTGTGAATTCCGTGTGATGTTGACGATTTCCTCAGGTATACCATAGTGTCGAAGAAGCTTCCATAAACTTCTCTTATCCACACTGTAAAATGCTTTCTCATAATCAAGGAACTTGATGTATAGTGACGAGTTCTACTCAACTGATTGTTAACGATGATCCGTAGTGTAGCGACTTGGCCTGTGAACGACCGATCCTTACGGAATCCGGTTTGGAAGTTGGGCGTCTACTGAGTCATTTATCCTGTTCAAAACACTATTGAAAACATCTTCTGGTATTATTATCAGTGTGATGCCTCTGCAGCTCTCACATTTGCCAAGATATCCTTTCTTTGGTATCTTGGTTAGGTATTCTTCATCTCAGTCTGTAGGCACGTTTTCCTCCTCCCAAATTTACCTGAATAGAACATGGAGCATGTTTGTAATTGCCTTTGTGTCTGAATTCAGTACTTCAGCTGCAATGTTGTCTGATTCTCCTGCTTTCTCACTCTTGATTTGTCTGATAGCCATCCTGATTTCTTCGACTGTTGTTGAAGTAACAGCTGTAGGAAGGTCAATGTGTGCTGCTTCGATGTCTGGTAGATTCAGTGGAGCTGGTCTATTCAAAAGTTCTTCAAAGTGTTCTTACCCACCTTTCCCTCTGTCCCTGGATTTCAGTGATTAGTGTGTCTTCTTTACTTCTTTGTCTTTTATGCTAAACAAGACAAACTCAGTTTCTTCTCTTGTTACTTCGTTTTCACAGGGTTCCGAGGTCTCATCATTACGTTATTATCAGGAATCACCAGCGAGGTATATGGCACAATTGGAAAATAATTGGCCACAATCAAATCAAAATAACAATGACTGCAGAAATATGAGCATAGAGTTTCCGTCAAATGGATCGACTATACCACCACCAAATGATTTTCAAACTACTGGTTCCCATATCCCTTACACACAAGTTAATAGTTCCACTCCTACCGTCAATAGACCATATTATCATATAACAGATGAAAATAAGAATATTATTAACCAAGAAAGTCCTGGTGCAGATCATTTACATGCAACTGACCAACGTTTAGGTATACCCAGAAACGTTTCAGATAATATGATAACACATCAAAATATGGGCAACTACTCTTCATATGGTTGTATTTTATAACAATCCGCATCCTGTTATGTTACTTCACTACAAAATTGTACAGTAAGATTTTTCTGTGTATGAACTAAATTTATACCTGCTATAACATTTAATAGACACTTTAAAGAAGCTGTTAATCTATCCAAATTTAATCGCTCATAGAAACTGTACAAAGAAACTATGAAAAATCTTTGGTCAATAGTGACATTAAACAAAATCTCATGTTATGCACGTGCTTTGATTTTATATTTTTGAAAATGTATCATTTTCCTGATTGTTCACTGTAAATTATGCTATCTACCAGTACTTAATGAAAAAACAAAAACAAATCTTGAATCACCTTTGTATTCTGACATATTTCATTGTTAAATTTGACTTCTTAAACTATGAAAACGTAACTGATAAGAGATTTACAAAATTTCGTGTTATTTTTCTTATCTCTTTGATTTCAACTTCTTGATTAACTATTTTAAGTTCACACATTTCAAAATATTACATTAACTGATAGCTTGTCACCACATATATAAATATAAATAATCCCGGAATCTTCACTAGTTTATAAGTGTGATCAGATTAATACAAAAGGAGAAGTTATGTTTAAAATCATAGTGGTATTTTATTTGACTGAATAAGAAGGACAAAGATTTTGTCAATGAGAAGTATAAGATGTACGTAAAATTAATGATCAATGGTGATATCGTTTTAAAAAGTAGCAAATAGCATACGATAAACATAAATACACTGAGAGCATAGTATAATTATGACGTGTGTTTTGGAGTGATAGACATAATCCCTTCATAAGAAAAAGTAAATTAAACAATTTATTCGCTAAATTTTGGCTTGATATATCTTAACACTTTCATCCTCAGTATTAACTAGTGGTAATTATTACTGTTTAGTGCTGCAGTGAGTTTAGAGAATACACAGCTTACTCTTTGAAGAAAACTGAGTTTAGTGAGGTTGAGTTGATGTATGCTATGTGATCTAAAGAGGTTATTGTGTCTTACTCAAATACTACAGTGATATTTTGACTTTTGGTTGCCATTGGAAGCTATCACAATCTTCGATAAAATCAGAGGATAAACCAGTTTTAGAGATTCAGTATTTCCTTCTTAGGAATAAATTCAACACTGAAACAAACCCAAAAATATTAAAGAACTACTGATTTAGTTTGTGTATTTACTGTAAGACCAATAGTAAGTAAACTTGCTTTAGTAGACTAACACAAAAAAATGAAACAATCCAAGCATTAATATATATGCTTCTTGAGATATAGCTCATAACCTGTGAGTCTAAAATTTCCCAAAAGACTGAAGTCAAAGATCAATGAATTATTGTATCAATTTCCTGTTTCAACCCAACCATCATAAATTATATTCTGCTTTATATCTGCTTCGGTTAATCTGATGCTTATTCATTACCCGTAGAATGAATCGAGAAGAGAGTGAACGAAATTGATTTTTTTATCTTCAGTAACTGAAATTTGAGGTATACAATAATTCTTATCAGTTGAAAGTGAAGCTATAAAACTGAACTTTATACATAATTTACAACCAACATTTCCGTAGATCAGGAAGACGTTCCTGTAAGTTATTGATATGTAAAGGTGTTAATTCTTGTAAATTATTTCAAACAATACTATATAAAGTGAATTTATTGTTTCAAGGTTTTTCATCATCCCCAAGCAGATCTAAGTTACAACTAATTATATGACCAGCAACAAACGTTTCGAAGTAAATATTCATCCTAACACTGATCCAAACTGTCAATGAAGTTAGAATTAATAAAACACTTAACAAAATGTTTTAAGAAATGGACTAATTACAGTATCAAGCTTAGTCCTGTGAAGCATATAGACTGCTTTACTTACGTCATACATCTTTGTGCAGACATTTTAACACACTTAATCTGTTGTGATGTCATTTTATTTGGCTTAATGACGAAATAACATTCTGTGAATAACAAACTCTAGTCAAAGTGAGTATTTAAAAATTTTTTGGCTAGCGCACATGCCCTAACTTTCGTCTTATTAAGGTTTTGTACATTATTCGTAAACTAGTTAATAGACTGATGACAAGTCTGATCACAAAAGTCGAAAGCTTTTACATGAAATTCCGATAAAGTGTAAGTCTATTCAGAGTTTCAATATCATTTCCTTATAAACAAGAATAAGTATGTTATTCCAAACAAATTCCCTCTCACCTAATAATAACAAACAATAAATATCCATAACTAGAAACGGTTAGAAAAACACATATATAATACACACTAGTTTGTTTATTGTTCATGAGTGATGTCAAAAAGTTTGGTTAAGATTTTCAGTGACCAATGTTTCCCATCTAAATCTAATTACGCTATTGCCAAAGGTATTCAGTTAAGAAATGCATTATTTCATTGCAGTCAAAGGAATTTTAATGTTATCAGTGTGGTTACTTTTGCTCTTGTCAACTATCACGTGGATAAATCACCAATCAGATCATCAACTTATATGACCTCATTCTTGTGCTAAACCGACGACACGTCAAGCAGCACTCAGTCAGTCGGCAACAACGTAGAACTTCGTACGTACGTACATCAGTTCGAGTTGCCATACCACATTAGCACAGAGATAAATTGTCGATTCAAATCCCATAGTGGTGGAGGTAACAAAAGTATAAGTGTAGTGAGGGAGAACACAGGTAAGGACAACCGAATTATACTTAGCACAAATTACAGAATTACCTGGTAAAATAGAAAAACTGTACTATAATACCTAATTTGCAAAATGTTCAATGATTATCTCGGACTTCATTGTTCTTGCATTTCCATACTAATTGCTTTCTATTCCCGTTCTTCCTCCCTTGATCTTCTCGATCTTCTGCTGCCAGGCATTACATTCCTTACTCGCTTTAGATACTACTTATGTCAATATACGTAGCACGCACCACATAAGTATTAATCTGAAATATTAGGGTCTGAAGATGTTATTCAAGGAGTACAATCCAGTGAAATAAATTTGGAAAATGGAAAGAAGATTAGAATTTGGGAGAACACAAAGAGTGGATGTGTGCTACTTATTTTGACATAAGTAGTATATGATGTTAGTCATGAACAGAAGGTCTGGCAGGGGATCGAACAGTAAAGAATGGAAACAGGATGCAATTTGTATGAAAATCTAAGAACAATGGAGTCTGAGTCATTTTGAGACAATTGGTGGACATTTTGCAAATTAAGCATTTACTGTATGATTGTTAGATTTTACTAACAAGTCCTGTAATTTTGTGAAACACATTCGATTGTCCCCACTCGTGTTCGATTCACTACAGATGCACCTGCGTCACTGCAAACGATTTTTAGCCATGTCATTCAGGGTCTCCAACCATCGGTTGCTGTCATCTAACGGTCCCCAACCAGGTATTCTGCACCTACCAACATGGCTCAGTCCACTTGTCAGTGACTTCATGGACTCGTGCCATGTTTTGGTCTGGCCTCCCCTAACTTTCTTCCAATCTACTTCTATACAACAAAACATCGCTCGTTGGGGCAGTCGATTGTTGGGCATACGTAACACATGTCCCAGCCATCTCAACTGATGAAGTTTCACCACTTCATCAATTGATTTGCCATCCTTACCTAGTACCCCTTTTCTAACAACTGCGTTACTTACTCGATGGTCCCAGGATATACGAGCAATATTTCGAAGACACCTATGATCAGATACTAGTAACCTACGGATATCCTCTACTCTTACCAGCCATGTTTCACTGCCATAAAGTAGGACGGAACAAACTGCTGAGCAGTAAACCCGTCCTTTGGTTGATAGACGGATATCTCGCCTACGCCATAAATGACGCAAGTTGGTAAAAGCTAGTCGAGCCTTCTGTATCCGTGCTGACATTTCGTCACACACCAGACCACAAGGGCTGATGAAACTTCCAAGATTAGTGAAGCGGTCGACACGCTCAACTACTTCACTCCCTATCATTAGTTCGGGTGTCGATGCAACCCAATCCTGAAGCAATATTTTGCATTTCGAGGGGGAGAACCGCATGCCGAACATGCTTGCATTGTTGCTTACGGTGGTCAGAAAACTCTGCATTTTGTCAGCGTCTTCACCAAATAAAACTATGTCATCAGCATATTCTAAGTCAACAAGTGAATCTCCCAATGAAAGTTCAACTCCTGGAAATCTAGATGAGGAAAGTGTTATCTCTAAAAGTACGTCAACGACGAAGCTATATGAAATTGGATAGAGTGAACAGCGCTGACGAACACCATTTGAGGTAATCAATTCTGATGACAGTTCGCCATAAGCTCTCACTCGGACAGTTGTGTTCGAGTAGATAGCCTTTATAAGGTTAATGTACTCCTTTCGGCGACAAACACTGCCATAGAACCTTACGATCAACAGAGTCGAATGCCGCCTTAAGGTCGAGAAATACTACTATTGTGGGGCGTCTGAATGTGTGTCTGTGTTCTAGAACCTGACGTAGTGTGAATATCTGATCTATACAACCACGTCCAGGTCGAAAACCAGCCTGGTTTTCTCTAGTCTGCTCTTCACGAGCTTTAGTTAGGCGTCGAAGTATTATTGAAGCTAATATTTTAGACACTATATTAGTCAAACTGATTCCTCTGTGATTGTCACAAGAGGACTTTTGTCCTTTCTTATAGACTGGCACAATCAGTGATTGAGACCAGTCAGATGGGATTACGTCCAGTTCCCAAATTCTACCTAAGACCTCAGTTAATCTCACTGCTAATACTGGACCACCATCCTTAAAAATCTCAGGAGTAAACCTGTCAGGGCCTGCTGCTCTCCCTCGCTTCAGATTTCCTATGGCTTTTTCAACTTCGTAAAGGGACGGAGGACCTACATTAACTTGCCATTCAGGTTGACTGGAGATCGTGGGAAACCGAAGTGTGGCTGAAGGCCAGTTGAACTGATCCCTAAAGTGTTCTGCCCATCGATCCAATCTCCTGGATTGAGAATGTATAATATGTCCATCTTTCTCTGAGATTGTTTCGCTAACAGTCGGGTTCCTAATTCCGGTTTCCTTAACAAGTCTGAACAATTGTCTGCTATTACCTATTGCCGCTGCCTTTTCCATCTCTCTTGCTTTCGCTACCCACCACTGTTCACGATCATTGCGTAGACTTCTTGTCAGCTTGCGCTTAAGCTGACTCCGCTCTTCATTATGTTCAGAGCCAGGTGGAATGAGTTTCCGAGCATCTATCAG